TGCGGTGATGTTCCCGAGGACGGATCCATGGCACAGCAAAGCGTCACTGTCCTATTTTACAGCTCTTATTGCTCCTGCTGCTTCCATCACACTTTAATTTGTTTACACATTTGCTTTGGATGAAAAGGCATCATGGCACACCCTCCACACTAACACACACTCCTCCTCGATTTCTCTCACTTTCTCCTTCTCTCTCTGCTAGTGTGTGTTTGCAGCACAATGGGATGCCATTGTAATGCCTCTGACATTCTTGTGTGTACATGCGTGTGTCCATATGTGAGTGTGCGTGTATGGAACTAGAGGACATGTGCACATTCTGCAGAACAGAATGGCTGCACACGAAAGGTGTTTCAGTCTTTGCTAACATCAGAACACTGACTCCACAGTGTTTAAAAATCAAATTTCTGTGCAGTTAACATGAATGTTAAACAAATGTGTTAGTGTTATTTGTGATCATGTGCAATAATGCATACTGTTAGAAACTTTTGCAGCTCTATCATGATGTTGCTTCAGTGTCCTCTCCTCACTTGAGAACAGTATTTTCACTCTGAGACGACCTGGTAGAGTAGAGCTAAAATAAAACCAAAAGGTGTGAAACAGAAGGAAGTAAGCCAACATAATTAATTCAGCTTGTCACCGAGGACTTTAAGTATAATACTGTCTTTTGTTTGACACCTTTTCCCTCATGTTTCTTGCTCTTTTTTCTCTGTCTGTCTCATTTCTCCAAAGGTAAAGGAGTGCAGATGCAAAGGGATGTCCAGTGCTGCATGTTGTACTCCCAGGGCAAGGTGCGTACCAAAGATGTGTTGCGGTTTGAGGTGCAGACGGAGGGGCCCGACTGCAGTATACAAGCCATCATGCAAGTATTTCAACTATCCACTCCTGGAGCTAAAGAGCACACAGCAATCTGCAGGCATGGAAAATATGCCTCTTGTTAGAGGAGGGCAGAGCTGGGGCTGAGAGGCATTGTCATCTTTCCAGGTCATGTTGTTATGGCAGGGCTCGGAGCTGTATTTGCCAGGGAAGTAAGAAAGGAAATATGTGGGAATAACAAGCCATCTGAAAATACCTTCCGAGCCAGCTGAGCCCTGCCGCAGCCATTCAGTCAGAACAGCAGGGTTTAGTTAAGTAAACCATTCTGCATTGTGATACCTATTGTTTCCAGCGGGTCAGAGAAATCTGATGTAGCAGGGGAATGAGGAGCTTACTTTTACATGCGGTCCAGTTAACAAAAACATAGAATTCTTGTACAGTGGATACAATAGTTTCTTTTGGTCCTCTCTATTTCAGTGGTTCCCAACCTCTTCAACTTTCCTCATGTTTGATCACAGTTTGACTTTTTTTTGACCGGGGAAAAAAACATTTTCTGACTCTATTTCCAGCCACCTTTCAGCTTCTCTTCTTTCTGATTCCTTTGGGCTCAAACTCTCAGAGGCTTCACCTGATAGACATCTTTGTTGTCCTCCACGTTACTGCTGAATCATTGTTTTTGACACTCTTGTGCTTCCAGGAGAATAAAATTTGGGGTTTGTGCAGAACCTTGTGCTGCCTCCTCTCTGTGTTGTGTAACAAGTATTGTGTTCTTTATATAGTCTTTACACAAAGAAGGCGGTGAAGTGTGCAGACCCCAGAGACCGGAAGGTGAAGAGGTTGCTGAGAAAGCTCCTGCAGAGACAGAGAACCAAGGCCCACCGAACCATGTGGCTCCTTCCTCATGACAACCTGCCCGTCATGTCAGAGGTACAAACAGCTTTATGGCTGCATGACTGTCACAACCCTGAATGTAATCAGTGCTGGACCTAGGACTTATGGCCATGGGAAATCAACACAAATGAGCAACGTAACTAACAAATTTCATATTCTTCTTTTTCGTACTGTGACTCAAATGGCTTTTGCTATTTCATTTTCTCTTATTGTAATACTCTCCGAAAACACTCCAGTCTGCCATACTCCTAAATCAGGGGTAGGCAACCTTCAGCTCCGGAGCCATATGTGGCTCTTCAGTGGCTCTTCAGTGGCTCCATGTGGCTTTGACATAAAATCATATGAAAATGGCTGTTATTTTTTAACATTTAGATTTTCATTGTCATTGTTGTAGGCCTGAAGTGATCATTGCACTCTACAGCTTTAAAAATGTGTAGCTTATACATCAAATTCAAAAAATGTTTTAATGTTTCATCAACTAAAATGTGCGTCATACGTCTACGACCTGGATAACTATTGATTCCAAATCCAAAAAAGGAAAAGTCTTGGAGGAAAATAGAGGATTTAATAATGTGTGGACAGATTCATCTGCTTTCACCACCACAGCTGCAAAGTTAAGGTACTAAATAATTATAAGTAGCCCACTGCAGAGTAGCCACCTTGTAGTAAATCATATTAATGAATGAGCATTATTTGTAACATTGATGGGCTGATTTAGATTTCATATGCTGTTACCTATATTCAAACATGTTTTGCAGCTCCAGACAGATTTTTTTTTTTTCTTGTTTTGGCCATTAAAAGTAAAGGTTGCCAACCGCTGCCTGAAATGCTTTAGCATGTTACTGACTGTGATGATCACTGACTTATGAACTAAGTGGACTGAAGGTGGTACCTCTACTACAGACAAAAAGTAATAGATGTAGCTACTGTGACGTCACCCATTGGTTTGTGAACTCCCGTTTTGAAGCCTTCATTTTGGAAATTTGGGCATCGCCATCTTGTTTTTGAGCCAGAAGTGACCATATTTGTGCGAGAGGCTGGCGCTGTGGAGGAGCAAGGGGTGGATCTGACTGAGACTGTGGACACGATCCACAGACAGCCTGCCACTGAATTATGCGTAACTTTAAGCCGTAATAAAATGTAAACGCGTAAGTTATATAACAATTCACCTCCCGTACAGGTGTCAATAATGTTTGTTTTTTTTTGTTTGTTTTTTTTTAAACCAGTCATGTTTATTTCTACTGTAAAGTTGGATATTTTAACATGGGGGTCTGTGAGGATTGACTCACTTCTGGAGCCAGCCTCAAGTGGCCATTAAAGTAACTGCAGTCATCAACCATGTTGGCATTGACTGTCAGGAAAGAGGGTCAGGGTTAGATTGGGGTTAGCTCCAGAATAAGGCTACAGTTTGGCGAGGGAACAACTGGCATGGCCATTTTTAAAGGGTTCCTTTGAACTCTCACCTCAAGATATCTGAATGAAAATGGGTTCTATGGGTACCCACGAATCTCCCCTTAACTTTAGAAGACTTGTACCCAGTAAGTATTTTGTTCCTTAAAATCTAGTACTCCTTCAGTGAACATGTATAGATACAAAACACATTAAACAGACAGTAAATGTGTTTATTTCTGCTGTAAAGTTGTAATTTTAACATTAGTGTCTATGGGGACTGACTGACTTTCGGAGTCAGAGTCAAGTGGCCGTTTAAAGAACTGCAGTTTTTGTCATTTCTATGTTAACTTCATTTTTCAGCCCCAGAGGTTGCTGCTTGGACCGTTAGCATCTTTGGATCATGGATCAATATTGGCGCCCCCTCTAGGAGGCATCTGCCTATGTTGCCTATATATGCCGCCACTGAATATAATAAATTGGAATGTAATTAAATCATTTTAGTTCACCCAGAGCAGATAATATGATCTATGACTGTTAATTATAGATACTGAGCGAAATTTTCATGTTATTTCCACATTACCTGAGACATTTATTGATATCCTATTCTTGTGATCATTAGGACAAGAAAGATAACTGGGCAGTTCTCAACGTGGAGTGATGGAGCGCCGTCAAATATGGACGAAAACTCATAGTCATAAGTACGTGTTTTTTTTCCTTTTGACAACGTTGAAAACTCATGTAACTTCAGTATGAGGTATATCATATGTAAAAGTACCTCTCTTACATGTCTCATCCCATGTTTTTGAATTTTATCCCACAGGCCAAGTAAACTTTCAGCAGCTCGTCATCTTTACACGGCGCAGCTCGCTGACTCTCCAGTCGTCTCGTGTCTCTCTCTATCTACACTATCCGTCTCCCTGGGACCAGACCTGGGCAGCAATACATATTTAAATGGCTTTAGATATTTAAACATGAACTGTGCTTGAAATTTTCTCAAACACATGGCTGGAACAGTCTTAAAAGAGGAGTATTTACTTGTAAGATAAGTTGAACTGATTTTTTTTTTTTTTTAAATGGCTCATACTGTTATTTGCCAGAGTCTGCCTGGAAGTGTCTCCCTCTTCAACATCACTACTCGTGGCTGATGTGAGATCAGTGAACAAGGTGTAATTTAGCAAACGATGAACGAGCAGTGATATTTATAGAATATTGTATATCAGCAAGATACTCTATGCTTATTTGTGACTTGTATACCTTCAGTAATGTGTTTCTAACACTGCACACAGTAAAGAAGATGGGGTTTCGCCACAGTGTGCAGAATATCGGGAAACATTTCTCTGACATAGATTTGCACTTTGTTTGGCTGATTCAGGTTCCAGTTGTATCAAAGTTTAAAAATCCTTCTTCAGGCTTCGACCTGATGTATTTGACTGTTAGACAGGTGAAGTCAAAGCGGGATCAGAGAGGAGATTTCACCTGGATACAACTTCCTGTGTTACATAAAGAGCTAATGTTCCTGATATTTTGTCCACTCTGTATATTGACTGTTCATAAACTCAGCATGAAACCTGAATCAATCTTTCAAAATGAGGCCCTCAGGCATCTACAGGAGATTTAAATATCTACGCATTTGCAGTTTACATCTGTCTTTTCCACCAATAGTCCGTCACTAAACTATGCCAAAGTATTCATGATTCAATTCACCACATGGCAAGGCTGTTAAAACTTAGAGGGCTCAATTGTGTGTGTGAGGCACACAAGTATTGTATTGTAGAAGAATGCACTGTATGTTAAAACACAGTATCTCAAGTGAACTATTTTATAAATTAATCTGAAGTAATAACAGAAGCTGCCTCATTGTCTTTTTTCTGGGTGTCTAGTGTGTGTCTGCGTTTCTTACTTACCGCACTGTGCACTTTATTTAGCCATGCTGTCCGGCAGGAGAAAAGGGAAGCTGAAACGCAGATAGCCGAGGCAGACGGGGACAGTTTATGACCAGTTAAAGATAAAAAATAAGCACACAGTAGGTTGACAGGTAGGTGCAGGCACAGGTGGCTTAAAAGCAAAGAGACATGTTTACAAAGATATTACAACAATGTCAACTGGCTGGGGAAAAGAGGCTGGTGTGTGTGCTGCAGAGCTGATGAGGAAACGAGGTGCAGGTGGGGAGATGAGCAGGGAAACTCAGGTGAGGTGGATGAGTTGATTGCACTGCAGATGGGTGTGGCATGGTCTGGAATAAAAGGAGAGTCTGGAGCCCTCTGGTGGACAGGTAGAGAATAACACTGAAGGGATTGGGAAAGTGGAGATGTGTCTAAAGAGAGGAACAGAGAGGCAGGATGAGCAGGAATCCACCATGGATGCAGAACTGGATACACACCAGACTTTAAAAAAACAATTTTATATGGTGGCCAAACTGTAACTTGATGCCATGGGGCCCAAAAATACTATTTTCCCATAGATTTTGAAAAAGATGTATGTAAATCAGTGGAAATTTGTTTTAACCTCCCAGAACGAATACTTAAATCACCATTATTTAAATAAATGTCCAAATAAAACCCAAAGATCTGGGTAATTTTTATGCCCGGAACATTTTTGGCTTAATCACAGATGTAGTAGAGAACTATACATGGCACCACTGCTCAGCCTTGCTTCCAAATTCCCCCAGTGGCCAAAAAAAATCCCCTGCTGCCCAAAAAGCTTGTAGACCCCCAATATTAAAGAGACGTCTGTAAAAAATGTTGAAAGGACACCTTGAACTGCCAACAAGGTAAATTATGACTCTTTCTGTAGAGTGCCCAAGGAACGAGTCCTAAAACTCTGAAGTGAGTTAACGTTTTAGCACTCACCGTTCCTTCGTCTCAGTGACAATGAGTTCTTTGAATGGGTTTTTGGTTAGATGCCTGAAATACGGACTGTGGTTAACACAAGCTAAAGAGACTTTAACGTTTTTTCTGCAACATAAAATAAGTCAATAAATACCCCATTCATACATTTGGGGCTTTTATGTGACTTAAAAAAGGCAGTTGCAAATAATTTGCTAAATGAGACTACAGAACATCATCACACCAAACATGGCTTCTCAGCTTTGTTGTGGTGGCAACGGTAGCTCATGCAACCACGGTGTAGTTTATAACCTAACGTTTTTTTTTTTACGTCTGGCGATTGGATTTAGGCTTCGAAAATCCTAAAAGTATAAAAAGTGGTGTTCATTTGTGAAGATTATTTTGCTGAACAGCAGAGATGGGGACTCGAGTCATTGTGACTTGGACTCGAGTCGACTCGAGTCACTGTTTTGATGACTTGTGACTTGACTTGACAAAAAATAAAAGACTTGAGACTTGACTCGGACTTGGAAGTTAAAGACTTGGGACTTGACTTGAGACATGATGACTTGAATGACTTGAGTGTTATTCACATCATGTTTTCGGTTAGAATATAAAATTAATACATTAATTTACAAAATAATGTTGATTACCCGGTAGGAGTGCAGGCTGAGAATGGCGTTGTCATGATTGGATCACTACCCTGTCAATCAGTCATGCCCTCTCTACGTACCTTATGTGTTTATTGGAGAAACAGGCCCTCTTATATCAGATAGGCATCAACATGTCAGTGGGAGGGGTCCCGAGAGTCATCGTCTTCGGCTTTCGGAATTACCATTATTACGGCAAAAGACAAACAGCACAGTGCAAGGCATAAACATCTCGGACAGCCAGACGACAACTTCAAACTTTGTTCGTCATTTGAAGAGCCATTCTGCCCAGTAAGTGCTCGTCAATTAGCTAATGTTATCTGGTTAGTCAGTAGTTAGCTAACGTTAGCTTGATACGATACGGGGGTGGGTCGGTTGGGTGGAACTTGTTTTTTAATTTAACTTATTTGCTAACATTAACCCCAGAAAACGTGAGCGAACATTCCGACCGGTTCATCACAAGACCGGCTGTACATTTTATGAACGAGCAACACAGGGTTAAATGAGCTAAATGGGTGATTTTGGCCGCTGACTTGGTTAGTGTGTGTGTGTGTGTGTGTGTGTGTGCGCGCGCACACGCACGCATGCACGCATGGGGGTCATCCCTGCAAAGTAAACATTGCAGCGATGAAGTCAATGTTTACTGACATTTACTTATTTCTTGTCTTTTCACTTTATTAAGATCAGATTCTGCAGGTAAAATTACAATAATAAGGTGACTTGACTTGGACTTGACTTGACTTGACTTGACATAACCTGTGACTTGACTTGACTTGACTTGCCCAAGAAAAAATGACTTGGGACTTACTTGAGACTTGAAGGTTAAGACTTGAGACTTACTTGAGACTTGCACATGGTCCCATCTCTGCTGAACAGTGTACATATCATAAATGGTAGTTTGTCACAGAGTTTATTTTCTGAAGTAATCAAAATTCTAATGGAAAAATCCCGTTGTTTTTTTTTTTTTGAAGAGGGAACCAGGGCAACGCTAAAAAGTCATCCCTGGAGCACTCTCTTAAAAATTTTTGATCCATGGAGGTTTTATGTTTGTAAAACTTTCCTCAAGTCTAGAAAAGCAATTTAAAAATGTGTGATGTCATTATGATGTTAAGACTATGGGCCGAGCAGGAAGTTCAGCGTGAGGCCAGTGGGAAAGAAGAAATAAACCCAGAAGCTAGTAACTTTTTTGACATATGCGCAAAGTGAGCAGTTCTCATTAGACTTAATGAATGAAGAAGAGAGGACCCTGCTTTTGGTTTGTTCCCAAATACATTTAAAACTAATGACAATATTTAGTTCTTAGCAAATGGCAATTGTTAGCATGCTAACTAAGATGATGAGTATGTTTAACATTATACATTATATCGTGTGTGTGTATATGTAGTAGAATGTAGTTGTATAGTTTAGCATGGGGAGGTTAGCATTTAGCTCAAAGCACCATCGTGTAACCTCACAGAGTGGCTAGCTTGGGAAGAGCGGCTAGAAACTTGTTTAGTAATTTTTGTGAGTGTATTTTTAGGTAGGCTAAGTGAAAGAAGTTTTAAACTTAGTTCTTAGCTCATCATCTTAGTTAGCATACTAATAAACATATGTATATATAGATAGTCACTATGAGCAGTTTAGCATGGGGGAGATTAGCATTTAGCTCAAAGCATCGTTGTGTAGCCCCACAGAGTGGTTAGCTTGGCTAAACTTGTTTAGCAACTTTTGTAAGTATATTTTTAGGTAAGTGAAAGAAGTTTTAAACTTAGTTCTTAGCTCATCATCTTAGTTAGCATACTAATAAACATATGTATATATAGATAGTCACTATGAGCAGTTTAGCATGGGGGAGATTAGCATTTAGCTCAAAGCATCGTTGTGTAGCCCCACAGAGTGGTTAGCTTGGCTAAACTTGTTTAGCAACTTTTGTAAGTATATTTTTAGGTAAGTGAAAGAAGTTTTAGACTTTGTTTTTTTTTTAAGTAAATACACTGAGTATTATCTCTGCAAATAAGGAAAACAAAAGAAGCTAACTTTGTGGGCATTCATCAGAGTGACACCTGGATCTGTTTAGAAATAACAAGGAGGCAACATGAGGCACTACAATGACGACAAGTTTTGACATTTAAACAAAAGCACACAAACTTTTTTTCTGTTTAACTACTTACACTTAAATTATATCGTTTTTACATAAAACCCGTCCAATTACTATTACAGAGTTTTCTTTCTCATGTTAAATATGACCCATGTGAACAGCAGCCTCTGGACAGGAGAATATCCTCCACCAGGGGTAGCCACAAACACAATAATGAGAATCACAGTTCAATTCCTGAGCCATTTATTCGTCACATTTTTTCATAAGCTGTCCATCAAAAATGTTGAACTTTTTACTGAAGTAACACCGAGCTTCAAAACTAAAGTCAAACCTGACATGACATGAGCATAAAAGTGTGTCAGAAGAACTTTAAATGGTATAACTTTTTAACTTTCATAATTAAACACCACACTGTCCTCTAAACTATCAACACCAAGAAGCATAAAGCAACCGTACATTCAATTCCTTGAGGCATTCACAAACTTTCTTCACAGTACCTTTTCACAAAACAAAAATAAATCAATCATTAGCTTGCAATATATTATTCCAGTGAAAATATTACAAAAAAAATGTTGATAGTGTGGATTATAAAGCAGAAATCACAGACAGGCAGGTTTAATGGTGCAGTGATGTTATGCACATTTTTGTGACCAACAACAAAAAGTCCTCTAACAGTCTTGAAACTTGAAACTACAATTATTTATACTTTATAAATCAATAATAATTATAACAATAATAGATCCAATACAAAATAAACTGGACCTTGAAATGGAAAAACAAGAAACTGATCATTCTCTGATTTTTCTTTCTAACAGGATAACTGAATAATTACTCAGCATAAAGGAACAGAGAGTATAAAACTGCAGGTATTTCTGTGATTTTTTTATGTAGCAGTACAGTCATTTCAAAGCAATAGCACCAAATAAGATAAATACACACAAATATAATATTTATAAGAAAGCACTGAGTGAAAAAGCAAGTCACTTAAAATATATCAACTTCAAAAAAAAAATGAGTAGCAAAACTTCTCCTTTACCTCATTCTCCAGTGTTTAATAGTCAAGTACATTAAAAAAGTACAATTAAATTGTGCAAGCAAACTTAAATAACATAAAAAATATTAATAACAAGACTAAGGAAGTCTGAGACTGATGTATTTACATCCTGCTGATATGCTCCATTGATTATTTGTGTGTGTAGCACAGTAGAAGCTCCATATCTACGTCCTTTTAGAGGTAGTCGTAATGAGACAGACAAAAATGAGTGTTTACAAAAGAAATAACATGTATAAAGTGTTAAATCATGCAACAGAAATAGCGAAATTATGCAGATTACATATTCACAACAGAGGAAAATCAGCTGGTTTACATTTTAATGATGAACGATGATGTTTCTCTACAGTAATACTGAGTATTCTAACACTGATGCTGGTAAGGAGTTTATGCTGCTCTGATTTTATGGATCGTAAATCATAGAAATCTTTGAAAATGTGATGAAGCTGAAGATGTTTTAAAAATGACGCTCAACTGTCTTTGATATGTTGAGCTTCAGCAGCAAAATGCCCCCAAATAACGGGCACTCCAGGCAAAAAATCAGTTTGTAGGCATTGGCTGTGTAACTGTTCTGAAAAAGTGTGTGTACTTATTTCCTGTCATCAAGCAACCCCAGGCCAGGCTCTGTGTTTTCAAACAAGTTTTAGTATTTAAGGAAAGGTGTTAGTGTGCGTCTGAAACTGCAAAATTGATCTTCGAACCTCGAACACTGGCTGAGTTGACCATGAACTACTGTTTTCTAAGACTTTCCCTGCACCCTTGCTAGCTAAAATGCTTTGAGTACATGGAGCACTCGAGGTGGTATCTGTTGTCTTCACATTGTGGTCTCACTGTTGCGGTGGTTGTGTGTGTCGTTTTCCTGACAGATGAGCTGGTAGGGCTTCTCATTCTCCTCGATTACAGAGTTGCGCACCTCAGCATCCTGACTCTGCAGCTCTCCACGAGAAAGGTATTCCACAATGCCAGCCCCGAGCGAGTCACCCAGCACGTTGGTGGTGGTACGCAAGCGGTCCCTGTGGAGACGAGAGAGAGATTCAGGGAAAAAACGGTACTGTAGAGACGCACAGACAGGGAACACATTATCATATATCTGTTATTAAAGCACCCATAGCTCAACATGTATCAATGTGCCTCTAAACACAGGCTGTCTAATCTGTGACTCTGCATTATGCATCAGTAACCTTTGTAGTGGTGGGACCTCTGCGCTCTCTGAAGCTTTACAATGACATTTAGGCCGGCAGACCCACAGAACAGCACAGAGACCAATCCCCATCAAGCTGACATTTAGTGGGAACTCACAAGAACCAATCCACAGCGATGATCAGTGTAATGTCCTCTGTGGGCAGTCCCACCGATGTCAATACGATCACCATGGTAACCAGGCCAGCCTGAGGGATGCCTGCTGCTCCGATGCTGGCAGCAGTTGCTGTGATACTGAGTGGGCGGTGGGAGGGATGGAGAGGAGAGTGAAGACATTTAATAAAAGGGAAACAAACAAACAGCACATGTGCACTCCTGGTGGGAGTAGTAGAGTGACAAAAGCACGAGGAATTATACAAATTATGTAAATTATTTACGAGCTGGTCACACAGCTATATTTTCTATTAACTGTTTAAAGTTGTTAAAGAGGGCTATATCATAAAAAAATAGTATGATACTAAATTACCATACCATTTAAGTATAACAGTATAATACTATAATTACTTAACACTAACATTATAATACTATAATTTAGTGTAATACTAAGCAATAGAAGTAAACTCATACATAAGGACAGTTTCTCTGTTAATTAAAAGGCTGACCGGGTGAATCATGGTGTAAATAAACTATGATCACATGTTGATCCTCGACTAGAGTGAGGTGGTAACAAACATGAAGCAGTGAATTCATGTGGAAGAATATTTCTGTAAACGAACTGTGCAGTCAGAGCAAAGTGAGAAAGGTGGTATGAATAAATTAGGAGACTGCATGAACTGAGGCGTTACACAGTATATATATAGTTTATATATCAGTTAATTGTTTGGGGTTTTGCAGAGAAAACCACCACAAGACCTAAAATAGTATTTCCATCAATTTAGCATTGCATGTCCATAAGGGACCTGACACACCAAGCCGACAGTCGGCCACTGGTCAATATCGGGGCGTTGGTGAGTGTCTGTTGCCCTATTTTTTTGTTTTTTTGAGTGTGTGTGTCCCGCATCGTTTGCACCAGTCGGCCCTTGGCGTTTTTTTCAACCGATTCAGCATGTTGAATTGACATTGGCAGGGACATAGGGTGTCGGTGAGTAAAATCACTCAGCACACAAGAAGAGAAAGTGAGGAACATAAACAAAAAACTAAAGTCAAGAGGATATGAGACGGAAACAAACTCGTTATGTTGCATTATTTTTTGCAATCGAGCTCTCTAGCAGGAACAGTTTGTAATGTTTGTGTTTTTGTTTGCTAGCTCACGGTAAATATCATTTGTTCCTTCAACATTGGGTTGTGCTGTAAATGTGCTGACTGGCTAACTAGCGTCTTGAATCTGTCCTGTCTGTCTTCCGGTTTCTCTTTTTAAATGTCGAATACAGACTATCACCGCCTGCTGCTATGGATAGTTATTTCCTCTCACACAGGCTCAAAACATACATGCTAGTTGGCTGTTGGCTGTATTCTTTGTGTGTTTAAGTGCAACATTTTGGCTGAAACACAGGCAACGTGAGGCGATGCAACAGTTGGCCTTCGATGCCAGTTTTGTGTGCCTGGGCCGTAACTTGTGCAACAGGTCCAAAGATATTGTCTTCTTTTCCCCCATGCATTTCTCTTCCTTCCAAACATGGTGCCTACATTACCCATAATGCAACTCAGCTGCTGACAGACTAACCCGAGATTCAGGTGGGTTCTTCTACTATTAGTGCTGGCCAAATATCAACAAATTTGCTGATGATACAGTAACAGGTTCAATATGTACCGAGGCTACATTGAAACATACTGCCTCCAGAACATAGCCCTACACTCCATCTGATTCACAGCTGCAAACGTGAGTTTGTCACCGTGCCATACTAGTTTATGCATTTTACTTATTTCAAATAAAAAAGTGTTGAAATGAAAAGGTTGACATTTTGGGCTCTCCAACATTAGCAGTATTTGTGTCTATGGTGAAAACCAAAACTAACTTAAGGTTACCTGATGGTGAGAATCTGACCAAAGTTTAGGTCCATGTCATTGACTTGAGCAATAAAGATGGCTGCCACAGCCTCGTAGAGGGCGGTACCATCCATGTTGATGGTGGCACCTACAGGGAGGACGAAACGTGTCACTCGTTTATCCACACGGTTGTTCTCCTCCAGGCAGCGGAAGGTGATGGGCAGGGTGGCAGAGCTGCAGTATGAAGGAAGAGAGAGATGTAGTCATTCAGACACACAAAACAATATAATACACAGTATTCCCCATTGATTTAAATGCCATAATATAGCATATAGTGACTGTGTTACTGTAATTTAGGCCCTGTTATACTATAGGTAATAAGACAGTGGGACAGAGGATGACATTCACCTCGATGAGGTTCCCAGCGCAGTGATGAGCGCCTGCAGCAGGCCACTGATGAAGGTGAAGGGATTCCTCCTGGTTACCATGAAGTAAAGCAGCGGCAGGACAAAGAGGCCGTGGATGAGGAGACCCACAATGACCGACACCATGTACATCCCCAGCTGGCCTCCCACCTCTGCCAGGTTCTTCATTTCTACAATCTTCCCTGCAATCAGGAACAGGATGCCAACTGGAGCATACCTGAGGGATGAGATGATTGTGTGTGAGGAAGAGAAAGAGACAGAGGATCCAAAAATGGAGAAGCCATAGGGGTCCACATTTAACAACAGTAAAACTAAATCAAAACATCCATTTACAAACTCTCACACAACTCGTGCAGGAAAATCCAAGTTTCATTTACGTAGTCATATGATCAGTACTTCCCAGACAGAAAGCCCCTTGCAAATGGAGAACTGAAAGAGAAAGTGAAATTTAATTTATGGTCTTTTCCCAGCTCAACTCCTTTGACAAAAACAGTCATTTTACCTTGCTGAATACATAAGATGCTGGTCCACCACTGCCTCAGTCAGTAGTTTGTTTATGTTATTGTGTGACTTTGGTGTTTTAAAAGGTTAGTTCAGACTCCCCAAAGTCACACAATAACACAAACTACTTATTGACGCAGTCGTCAGAAAAGGACTTATGTTTTAGAAGTACTGAGACTTGGATTATACGGCATGAGTTGTGTTGACTTTTTAATATGGTTTTGCTGTTGTTAATTGAGAACCTCTACGAATTTTCTCTGTTTTTTTGGATTCTTCGTTCACTGTAGAGGCATGAGGGAGAAAATGTTTTCTCCAAAAAGTCAGTGTAACACCAAGGGAGAAATTGATATACAAATGGTAATGTGTGTGTTGGTGGGGGGGAATGCTTCATTTAAGCCCTGAAACAACTAATTTCCCTATTATCTTTTTCCCCTAATTAATTTTAAATTGAAAGACGATAGATTTTATTTTCACTGTGTCTGACAGTATCACCTCTAGCAGTGGTTCCCAACAGGTAGGTCACGGTCCAAAAGTGGGTCGTGGGTCCATTCTGAATGGACGGCAAGTGACTCAAGAACATGTCAGATTTGTAAAAAACTACTTCACATTTTGAAGTACAGTGAATTTCTGGCACATAGCTTTTATTTTGAAGTGCTGTTTTCCTGCTGTAGAGTGAGTGACTGACAGCTACTTAGCAGAGAAAGCAAACTAGCTCGACGACATGGCCAAACGCAAGTATGACTTTGAATATATTAAAATGTGTGGACCCTGAACTAATGACTAAGGAGGAATCTGGAACCCGTGGCTGCACCAGTTGGGAACCACTCATCTATAATACATTCTGTATCAGCTTGTTCAAGCTTGTTTGTTGATTCTGTATATCTAACTATATATTTGACATATTCAACCCACATATTTTTATGGCTTTCCATCAAAATGGAACATTATATTTATCAACTTTGGTATCTTTGGAAACTTTGGGATCACTGGTTCTGTGGGTTTGAAAATGTTGACTGAGAAGACAGTGAGTCAGCTGGGTTTTAAGAGGATAATCAGGTCATGTCAGGTCAGATTTTGTTATTATAGCACAGAGTCAGTGTGTCTTAAAAACAAGGTATTGAAACTGCCAATGAAATGTCTTAACTGACCAGATGATGATGGACACCAGCCTCATGATGGCTTCATTGAGGCAGTCAAAGAAGTCCCTGAGGGCCTGACCCTGCTGCTTCATGTTGCCAATGACCAGACCGAAGCACATGGAGAAAACCACCAAACCCAGAGCGTTCACTCCGTTGGAGGAGCCGGACACAGGGACAGTCTCCTCCACTGTCTCCTGTTGTATATTAAGTATGTGTAAAGAAACATTATATGAATTTCTGACGTAGTAAAAGGAGAAGACAAACTATCAATGGATTAACGGAGCACCAGTGAGTGGATAAGGACAGGTTTGCAACTGTTTTTTTTTCTTCCCACTTAGATCTGTGTTGTTTTCCCCAGAGGAGATGTCACCCACCTGTATGGTGTGCAGCACCCTGCTGAGGTTCACGCTCAGGTTAGACTCTGTCACGTTGAGAGAGTCTGTGAGATTAAGGGCCACTGTCACGTTCCTTATGTGCACAGTCTTCTTATACACAGTTTTATACTGCAAAAGAGAGCATGAAATGAAACAAGCAAAAAATACTCAGCATAATTAAATTTGGGTGTTTAAGTTTCTGACAATGTTTGTTTCTGATGTAGTAAGGAGGATGATGGGAGTTGTGTTATATTAAATGTTTGTGTTTCCAGTTTTTAAACATGATAATAAAATGACTAAATGAAATAGTATTAATATCATATCGAGTGATGGGAAAAGAAATCCTCACCTGCTTGAAACAAGCCTCTACCAGATTGGGAGGAAACATGTTCCTGTGATAAAAAGAATAGAGAAAATTATTAGATTTGTGCTCATGTTTGTATAAAGAAAAACCAGGATGAGTCACAGCAGGTTGTAAGTTTTGCAACACTACAAGATGCTCCTCAGTAACCCATAACTCATTCTCGGAACCCATCAGCTGTATTCGGCATATGACTTCCGGCAGACGGCGATACAGCCTCTGGGGGCAGACCCCTGATTTTTTAGCATTCCGGTTTGATTTGGGCGGAGGAGGCGAATTTCCGTTTCTGACTTCCGTTTATATAAGTAAATATGCTGAACCATTGCGATGGATTCAGAGTTTGCAGTGACACCGATTATGTTCCGCCTCGTTAGTTCACTGCACAGAGCTTTTAACCTGGCAACAACTGCAGCCGGCTCAAACGTGATTGGTCAATATCATGCGGACTACAAACAGCCTACAACCGGAAACCAGGGCTCTTCCACTCTTCTTCCGGAGGCAAAATCTCCGGGGTTTGCCTACAGACTCTACATTTACTGAATGTGCGGTCAAAGTTCAAATAATTTCAACTCTGAGCACAGCGCTCGGGCGGAAAATCCGAGCGGTGCGCGACACCAAGGGTAGCAGTGCCGCTTTGTCAGGCGTTGCTGCCCTCTCCATAGACAAACAATGGGACAGCCAGCGCAAAGCGGTATTACAGCTGATCATGTGTAGAGGCCTTAAGCTTCCAAGATGCCGAAGCGCAAGTGCAGCCTCACAGATGAACTGCAGAAAAAATTCCCAATTTACCATCCCGACCCGGTCGGGATATATGGGAGGCTGAGTGCACCGTGTGCAAAGCACATATGATTCTGTGTCTAATAAAGGTGCCGGGGAGCTCAAAGGATTTTCTAATACAGAAGAGGTATTATTTAAAACATTATTTCATATTATTTATTTATTTGTCCAGTAAGACTTGAAAAGATAGCTATTATTTTACAAGTTTATTCATTCATTCATTCATCTTCTAACCGTTTCATCCTCTTGAGGGTCGCAGGGGAGCTGGAGCCTATCCCAGCTGACATTGGGCGAGAGGCAGGGTACACCCTGGACAGGTCACCAGACTATCACAGGGCTGACACATAGAGACAGACAACCATTCACACTCACACTCACACCTACGGACAATTTAGAGTCATCAATTAACCTGCATGTCTTTGGACTGTGGGAGGAAGCTGGAGTGCCCGGAGAGGGCCCACGCTGACACGGGGAGAACATGCAAACTCCGCACAGAAGGGCTCCCACACCCGGGATCGAACTGGGAACCCTCTTGCTGTGAGGCGACAGTGCTAACCACCACACCACCGTGCCGCCCTATTTCACAAGTTGATTTTTCTAATACAGAAGAGACATTATTTCTGTCATTATTTCATTCCAGAGATTTTACATTTATTTTACATTTATATTTATTTTTGTACAATTGAAACTTGTAAAAAGATTATTATTTTAGGCATAATAAAAGTAAGTTGAGTGACCTCTGAGAAGCCTATATAAATTTCTGTCTTTGAGAGATATTATTTTGTAATATAACTGAATATTCTATCCATACATACTAAAATTAAAAAGCATCTTTGAGTAAACTGCGAGTATGATTTAAGTAGGCTATCTTGTGGCCGGGGCAAGTCCTCTTTTTTGGAAATCAAAATATGGTCACCCTAACCATAATATACAAAATGAACATCACACTGTATTGTAGAGGACATTGCAAAATGAATACCATAAGTTTGTTATCCTGGCTTCATATGGGTAGAGGAAATCCCTGCTGGTCGCTAGGCTAATTTATATGTAAAGTGCCTTATACACACTAGCTTGTGCTAATAACGTTAGCATGTTGTATTTGTTTGGAAAATGTGTTTAGTATAAAACAGCTGTTTTGTCGGTTAACCTTGTGAGTTGTAATGGAGCCGAATTTTGTAACGTTACCTTGGTAAAATGTTGCTGTTGTCTCTGGCTTCATATGAGTAGAGGAAAACTAGCCGCTAAGCTAATTTATACAATGTAAAGTGACATAGGCTCGTGCTAATAACATTAACATGTTGTATTTGTGTGGAAAATGTGTCCAGCAAAAGACAAGTGCTTTGTCTCAAAATCCTGTGAGTTATAATGAAGGCAATTTGTGTACTTGTGTTTTGCTCTTAAGCCATGTTTAATGTGTGTGTGTTTCGGATCAACTCAATTTTATAGTCTGTCCAGAAACAAAGTATGACAACAATTATGTGTGGTTTGTGATGTTCTGTGCCAGACTATCCCTTAGCCACTACTAAGGTAAGCTAACTGGTTGTAGCGTCATATTAAGCATAGATATAAGAGTGGTATTGATCTTCTTATCTATTGTACTGTATTCTTAACTATTGGTTTAAAGGTCCAGTGTGAAGGATTTAGTGGCATCTAGTGGTGGGGTTGCAGATTGTAACTAACTCAATACCCCTCCCCTCCCCTGCAGCCTTCAGGTGCATTCACGTCACCAAATTCAATCTGCCACCTCAATGTAAAAACACAAAAGGTCCTTTCTTGAGCCAGCATTTGTTTTGTCTGTTATGGGCTACTGTAGAAACATGGCGGTGCAACATGGCTGTAGATATGAGGGGCTCATTTTAAGCTGATGAAAACACAAAGATTCTTGGTTTCAGGTGATTATGAACGAATGAAAACATAATTATAAATATTAAATTCAATCTGTTCATCAACATTCATTCACATCTGTTAATTCACGCATAAGTAAAGAAAACTATCTGAGCTGTTACCTGATGAGATCCAGGAAAGCATCAGTAGCTTGAACCGGCTCTATGTTCCCGCTGTTGGCCACAGGACTGTCCCTGCTGCCTTTCCCCGGCCGGATGATTATCACCGTGACAATGCCGATGAACACGGCAATCAGGGTGGTCACCATGTAGTACACCACTGCGCGCATACCCATCTTACCTGACGCTTTGCTGTCCAAGGAGGAAATACCTGAGACAGAGGAAATTAATATGAGAATGTAATCAGGTTTGCTGCAAGTGTAGATTTCGTCATGAAGGTGTTTGTGCTTGTTAAATGCCAACCTGTGACCAGACTAGAGACGATTAGAGGCAGCACCAGCATCTGTAGCATTCTCATTAGCAGCTCCCCTGGAAAGGCAAAGTACTTGATCTCCCTCAGGGACAGGTTGAGGGGGCGTAGAGCAAAGCCCAGGATTACCCCTGATACATTTGCATAAAACCACAAAAGCACAAATGTACACAAAATCAAATCAAGTCAAGTGACTGCAGAGAAAACAGATTTAAACCCCTATGTGGTTTCCGTGTTCACCCACCCACAGCCACGGCGGCGACAGTGAACAGAACGAACAGGTTCCTCTTGAGGAAACCTTTGACGCTGTCACGACTGATGGAGCCCATCCTCTCCTTCATGCTGCTGGCTCTCTTCTCCATGGCCCTGCGTATGCGTCTCCTCAAGTCTCCTCTCTCTGGCAGGGGGGGTTTGTCCGCGTCCTCGTTCAGGAAAAGACTAGCACTGGTGGGGGGCTTCTCGTTCATAATCAGCTCCAGCACCTGGTCCAGGAGGCAGGTCTCGTGGGAAACTAGGCAGGGCGAGGACAACATAGGGAGAGATAATCAGTCACACGTTAGGTTTTTACTCATGTGCAGTGTTTGGCAGGATTAGGATGCTTTAAATGGATATGAAGAATGTCCACACACACTGATATTGTCCAACAGGCACCAAAGCATCCGCTGTCAAACTGAAAACAGATGATGGAAAATTACCGAGTGTAAACAGGAGGACGAGTCACATCAAATGGTGTTGTGTTTACTGCTGTGTTTAGAAGACTATTAGGGCCGAGCCAAGCTATGACACAACAGTCAGAGTTAAAGCTCATGGTGTAAAACACGTAACCATGCAGGTCATTTAATATGTGGAGACAGAGTGGGCTCACTTTATCATGCATATGGCATTATTTTTGGAAACTTTCAGATATTTTACTTAAAAAGTAAACACCATTCTTTTAAAATAAATAATCAAATGTGAAGATACACTGTTTTTTTGTCTGTCTTGTATCATTGTATAATAAATATATTTGGTATTTTACTGGACGAGCAAGCATTTAGAAGACATCACACTGAGCCGGGAAATTATGATGAATATTTTTACACAATTTTAAGACTTTTTATAGACTAAATGGTTTAAAAATTAACTGAGATAACCAACAGGTTAATTGATAATCTCTACAACAATTTCAGTTCCTGTAATAGTCCGTTATAGACTGAGTCATGACTCAGAAATGACTCATATAACTGCCAGAAAAATGGAGGGAAAATGATCAGTAACAACATCCTATTTCTTTATTTTATTACTGCTGTAATGAAAATATATAATTAAAGTGGTTAATATATCAGTATCAAAGTATCAGAGGTAAAAACACTTCATCTGGGTGATCAATATTATGAATAAAACTGATTTTGTGCAGGCAATGAGCAGTAAAAATGTTACACTTATAGATGTATACCAGAATAAATACTGTACATAAGGGAATGTACACAGAGCGCATGATAAACTTTAAATTACACTGCATGACCTTGAATATGAGGCGAGCCACACATGTAGTTCTGCTTCCCTAATAATCACGCCACTAAAGCTGCCTTTTTTGTACTCTAGCGACAAAGTAAATATCAGCACTATGTTTCTAAATCTTTACTGTGATCATGCTTCAGTAAGTTTAGATAGTAACAACACTGAGCTTCTTTGGTCTTACCGTGTTTCCTTCTGCTGAGCAAAACAAAGTGTCTGTTTCTGTGTGTAGCACGTGGCTGTTGGTTTCACTTCTCCTTATCTTTCTAGGTTGTTTATCTACATTTCCTCTGGATCCCTCTCTGCCAATAGACCTGCACTCAAAGAGCAATATGGTACACAGCCAGCCACTTCACCGGCTTCTCCTTTACAATACGGCTACTCTGAGATACAGCACATTTATATTTATATTCCTCCCTGGGGGATAAACACTCACCATACGGTGTCCAAAGACTTCATCTATTCTGTTTGTCTATTGATTTTCTTTTGTCCATTGTTTGGAGGTTTATCTATAAGTCATACATATGAGGTAAAAGACCCATTGTTGCGCAGGTTATGAGATGACCTCTAGATAATCCAGGCCCATTATTTAGCTCGCTGTCAGATGCAGAATAATCAGCTCGGGCACAACACTGCTCACACTTAACTGCCAACAATAAGTGAGTGTGTGTGTGAGTGTAGCACAAGAGGAAACATCAGACAGTCACAGTGTTTTACAACAGATCTCATCCTGATGATCCTATTTCAACATTTCTGAGAGCTGAATAGGTGGATTAATGAATTCATACACTTCTCCATTACCTCTCTGGTTTCAACAGCTCTACATTTGCATTGAGATGGGCTACCGCTTATGACGACAAAATGTAACATCATACTCTGTGCATGACATTATATACAGTAAAGAAGACAGTAAAGAAACAATGAAGCCTTAGAGAGGGAATTAAACTGTGAAAACACCAGCTGCTTAACATAAAGACAGAGCATCACCACGCTTATTCATATCTTATATACTGATTTAAGTGATTATAACTTAAAGTATACAGCAGAGCATTCATCTGCATCACTCACAATTTCTGTTTCTGATCATTTCTCATTGGACAACATGATGAGCACAGTATATCATTTTAACCACGCCAGCAACTAAATGCAGCTTTGATATCAGTCATTCAATAGATTTGTTAATACCTAAATATAATATTGAATATTTAAGTGTCATTGCCTCCAATGGCATAGGGGTTAAAGGAATACTTCACCTCCCAAAGAATGATTTGTGTATCAGTAAGTCACCCCATGTTATGTTGAATTTATGAAGAAATTCTTGCATGCCTTTTGTCGAACAAAAACTGGGAAATTTTTTGATGAATTGAGGTCATAGGGGGCCACATGTAAAGACAGCAAAACTATATCAAAACATCTGTTTACAAACACACAACCCGTACAGTATAATCCAAGTCTCATATATCTAGCTGTATGCTAAGTACTTCCCAAACAGAAAGGCCTTTCAGACGGGAAACTAAACGGAAAGCAAAACGTAGTCTATGCTCTCTTCAAAGCCAGACTCATTGACAAAAACACTAATTTTATCTTGCTGAACACGTGAGCTGCTGGTCTACCACTGCCTAGATCTATTAGTTTGAGCTATTGTGTGACTTTGGTGTTTTCTTCATGGGAAAAAAAAGCAATATAACGTCAAAAAAATGATATACTACCACCAGGTCAACACTGTGAGCTACTTGTTATTTAAGTTGTTGAAAAATGAACAGAAACGCTGCCAAATGTTTCTATTTGAAATGCCATATTCTTTTCACAGCCTGAGTAAACAGCTGCAATTTTAACTGTCTATCCACTGTATTGCACTGTTTTATTACGTATTATGCCACTGAGTTTCATTTGAGCAGCTGCATTGTCAGTACCATGGCAAAGCAGCCACCAACCCTGGCTCAGCCCGCTCAGCCCTGTCTGACAACCCAACAATCCACCAATAAATGAGAACAGACAGGTGATAAACATTTAAACATTAAACCAAGAGCAAGGACACTGGGGTCTATAATAGTGATGGAAAGCATCAATTACCCTGAGATGGATAAACTGATCCCACAACACATCTTACGACTGGCAAACATTTTAAAATTGAACTCAGTGTCAGTTTCTTAGAGCGGCATGCAGCTTGTAAGGCAGAGCAAATTTCACACCTCAACAGAAAGTCACTTCAGACTGCCATGTTAAAGTATACGAGCACACAGGGATCTCTTCTCCAGCTGTTACAGACACCTTTATAATTCTGAACAACAGTCTGTCACGTTTTTTTATCTGCACCGCTGCATCACAATAATGGTACTCTAAAAGGATCACACACATAACTTATCAGTTGATTCATTTTATGCACAAAGCATTTCATAAAACAAGACTTGTTCCTTCATAATCAGAAAAAAAAAATGTATGTGCTGCCAGAAATGTGTGAAAATCTCCACATATTCTCCACATAAACACACAAATATAGAGTTAGAAGAAGTTTCTAAGCTTTGCAGACTACTGTTACTCACCACTCATGGTGTCAGATAGTCCAGTCAAAGTCAAGGTCTCAGCTAACAGAGAGTCAGGACGGTGGGTGAGAGCGTCCCCAGCAGAGCGGCACAATGACAGGGCGTCTCACTGCTCTGCTCTCATAAGCAGACAGACATGAAAAGGCCACTCATATGGCCTGACCTTATCACACCTCCACACGCACACACACACACACACACACACACACACACATACACGCACACTGAACTGTATGAAAAGTCCATCAAAGTCAGACCCATCCATCTAGTTTCCATCCCTTCAACAAACTTTTCTTACACTACGGATCCACTCCCCTGAACACTTTGCACACAATTCTGTTCATGACCAAAATCTTTGGTTTTGTGTGTGAATAGTTTTACAAAAAGGAGATCAGTTTAGTCTTCACAAAGAGAACTATTCAGCAGTGTAATGTCTTCTGAGCAGAAGTTGTAGGATTCAGTGTTTTTGGAGCTTGATCCACACTAGCGACTAAATGTTGATTTATGGTAGTGTGTTCAGGGGTTAAGCTATATACAGGCTCCGAAGCTTAATTGAAGGCTACGCCTTGGCTGAAGTATGACTAAAAAATTTTCAGCATACACCAACAAAAATCTGACAGTAACACAATAACTTGTATCTTCAAAAATAAATACGGTACTACATTCTCTGCAGGTAAACATCATTGGTCGACTGCAAACATGACGTATCATCTGAAACATGGAAGTAGCTACATGCCCATTAGCCACTTAGCACAATCATTACTGCTTTGCAGACAGCGTCATTAACAGGCGGCCCGCTCAGTGTGTGATGTGCACTTGTAGATAAAATATAGGCCTATATTAATGAAGGTTCATTAGTACGGTTTGTATGTCGCTGTAATGTAGCACAGTGTTAACAATGTTACTGATACTATTCTTTCTCACACCTTCAACTCAAACCACTGTGTTGCCCCGCCCAAAATATGTAATTTAATAATTAAATTAAAATCGTAAACATGCGGGCAACTAGTCGACTAATGGCGCTAAATGACGACTATTGGTCGACTAGGAATATTGTTAGTCAGGCAGCCTTGAAAAAAGTAACGTAATATAAAAGAAAAATAGAGTAATGAGTAATATATTACATTTTTTGAGTAATGAGCCAAACACTGCTCACCACTAGATGCCACTAAATTCTACGCACTAGACCTTTCAATGGTAAAATGTATTTCATTTATATAGTACTTCTACCCAAAGCGCTTTACAGCTTTGCATGTCATCTACCCATTCACACACACACACACACACACACACACACACACACACCAATGGCAGTAAGCTACCAAGCAAGGAGCTGGCCAAGGATACCTCACCATGTGGACAGAAGGAGTGTACGACCTACTGAGCAGCCGGTTTAACAGATACTCCCAGGGAATTCCAAAATAACCCAGAGCTCAATGGAATTTAGAGTATCAAGCAGCACTCTCATAAAGTGGGCGAGAGGCGGGGTACACCCTGGACAGGTCACCAGACTATCACAGGGCTGACACATAGAGACAGACAACCATTCACACTCACATTTACATCTATGGACGATTTAGAGTCACCAGTGAACCTGCATGTCTTTGGACTGTGGGAGGAAGCTGGAGTACCTGGAGAAAACACGCTGACACAAGGAGAACACACATACTCCATACAGAGGGGCTCCCCCACTCTGGGTTTGAACCAGGAACCCTCTTGCTGTGAGGTGACAATGCTAACCACAGCAGCACCATGTCACCAACAACAGAAATGACAATCAAAAGCTGATAGTAGCACGGTAGCTGTCTAATCAGACCTGAGTAAATGTCATCAATGGTCAACCCACCTGTAAGCTTCACAGCTCATTATAGGCAAGACTGACATGTATGAACAGGAGGTATAAGTCAAGATATATGACTGTACTGATTTTGATTCATTCATTTTCAAATCTCCATGTCACAACTACCCAAACTTTATGAATGTGGATTACTGAATTGTTGGAATATCCCTTTAATTTGTGGTCAGATAGATAGATAGATAGATAGATAGATAGATAGATAGATAGATGCAGAATAAAAAGATAAAATGAGATACCCTGTTCGCTGCCTTGAGTTGTGTCAAGCCGTCATGAGGAGACAGATCCTTCCTCCTTCAGCTGCTTGTCCTCCTGAAGACGCTGCAGAAACAGGAATTCAAACTTCACAATTTTATACAGAACTCTGACTCACCCCCTGTCAGTTAGTTTCACTCATTAACCGGCTCCAAACACGACTAATTACAAATCAAATCTTACACACCTCTGTCCGTCCAAGACGCTCCTCACACCGTCATGTGGCTCTCTCTCCCTGTCTCTCCACCACGCAGCTGATAATGAACTGCTGTTGCCCACACACTGTATCTCCTCTCATCAGTTTCACTCTCACTGTATCTGCCGTTTTTTACTATCAAGCAGCTTGTGCGCGTCCGTGCAGCCTCCGGCGCAGCGGAGCGCCTGGGAGGTCCGCGTGGGAGGAGGAGAGGTTAAGGATCCTTCACGAGAGAGGAGGAAAAACACAAGATAAACCACCTGCTGCCCGTCCACAGCGATGAAGCCTGTGTGAAATACACCCGACTGCTCTCTTTCATAGTAAAAGAAATGTTTCAAGAAATGTATGATGACGTCATTAACCGGCTACATGATGGGGCCACACATTGGTACCTGCACCCATGATGCTTACTGCACAGTGACCTTGGGTCCTGAAGGAGCCTGCAGTACACACACTCAGTAGTACTCACTGCTCACTCACTCACTGCTCTGAACAACTCTGGGGAACTCGTGTTTGTAACCCTTTGGCACCCAGCTGCAGCTCCCCACTCTTACACCCACTCATCATGTTCACTAAAGTTGCATTGATATGCATGAAGCCTACCACCAACTGAAAAAAGCTACACCATATTTTTTTTTATTAACACACATATTCAAACTGTCTAAGAGGAAATGATTCGGCAAGTGCAGGTTATAGGTACTAGTGGGTTTGCACAGACAGAAAGGAAACTGTGCATTACTGTCAGGGAATGTTGTGAGTTGTAATGAAGCCAAATTGTGTGCCGTTACCTTTGTTAAATGTTGCTGTTGTCCCTGATTTTATATGAGTAGAGGAAAGGTACGTTAGCTGCTAGGCTAATTTATACAATGTAAAATGCCATAGGCATGTGCTAATAACATTAGCATGTTGTATTTGTGGGGAAAATGTGTCCAGCAAAACACAAGTGCATTGTCTGCAATGCTGCGAGTTATAGTGAAGCTGATTTGTGCACTTGTAATTGAAATAGTCTCTATTAAGCCATGTTTAACATGTGTTCTGAATCAACTAAACTTTACAGCACGTCATGAACTCCAAAGCAGTGTCCTTGTAGGGACACTTAAAAAGGTCCGCAGATGTCTTCCAGCATTTTAAGAATCTGACATTTGGAGATAAAGAGTTGCTAAATGAATATGATTCTACATTTGTATAAATCTGGAGAAAACCATGATGTTAATGAGCATCTCCTTGTTCCGAAGCTTCGCAGGAGCTGAGACTGAACCACTAGGTCAGTTTAGAAGCTGTTCCATCAAATTACAGGATCTTCCTCAGCAGTTTCCTCACCTCATTTTTTCTGAGCACTTTCAGTACTTCAACATCTACATTCACTGGCCTCTTTATTAGGTACACCTGTTCAACTGCTCCTCAATGCAAATAGCTAATCAGCCAATCACGTGGCAGAATCTCAGTGTATTTAGGCATGTAGACATGGTCAACGACCTGCTGAAGCATCAGAATGTGGAAGAAAGGTGATTTAAGTGACTTTGAACATGGCATGGTTGTTGGTCTGAGTATTTCAGAACCTGCTGATCTACTGGGATTTTCACACACAACCATCTCTAGGGTTTACAGAGGATGGTCCGAAAAAGAGAAAATATCCAGTGAGCAGCAGTTCTGGGTGAAAATGCCTTGTTGATGCCAGAGGTCAGAGGAGAATGGTCAGACTGGTTCAAGATGATAGAAAGGCAACAGTAACTCAAATAACCACTGGTTACAACCAAGGTCTGCAGAAGACCATCTCTGAACCAACAACACGTTGAACCTTGAAGCAGATGGGCTACAGCAGCAGAAGACCACACCAGGTGTCACTCCTGTCAGCTAACAACAGGAAACTGAGGCTACAGTTCACACAGGCTTACCAAAACTGGACAATAGAAGACTGGAAAAACATTGCTTGGTCTGATGAGTCTGGATTTCTGCTGCGACATTCAGATGGTAGGGTCAGAATTTGGTGTAAACAACATAAAGCATGGATCCATCCTGCCTTGTATCAACGGTTCAGGCTGCTGGTGGTGGTGTAATGGTGTGGGGATATTTTCTTGGCACACTTTGGGCCCCTTAGTACCAACTGAGCATGGTTTAAACACCACAGCCTACCTGAGTATTGTTGCTGACCGTGTCCATCCCTTTATGACCACAGTGTACCCATCTTCTGATGGCTACTTCCAGCAGGATAACGCACCATGTCACAAAGCTCAAATCGTCTCAAACTGGTTTCTTGAACATGACAATGAGTTCACTGTACTCCAATGGCCTCCACAGTCACCAGATCTCAGTCCAATAGAGCACCTTTGGGATGTGGTGGAACGGGAGATTCACATCATGGATGTGCAGCTGACAAATCAGCAGCAACTGTGTGATGCTATCATGTCAATATGGACCAAAATCTCTGAGGAATGTTTCCAGCACCTTGTTGAGTCTTTGACACAAAGAATAAAGGCTGTTCTGAGGGCAAAATGGGTCCAACCTGGTACTAGCAAGGTGTACCTAATGAAGTGGCCGGTGAGTGTTTATTGGCCTAAGAGACAACTTGTTGAATTCCAGTTGGCGAGGAAGACCATGCAAAAAGATTGAAAGTTCCACAACAGCTACTGAACTTTGTACATTTTATATGTTTATATATTTTGCCTCGCTATATTTGTGTTTTTTTTGGCGCTCTCTCTTGGCTGCCTGCTGCCTACGGTTTGGCACCTGGTTGCTACTTTTTTATGAAACTCAGACTTCACCTAAACGCTGTAGGGGTACACAACCATAAATGTCCTGAACACAGAAAATGAGAAGACAATAAGTAAATACAGACAGAGGGCAGAGATAAATACACCACAACACCCTTTCAGTAGTTCATATGTGGTCATAGGTGGTTGAGAGGGATTTCTTTTGTATAAGTCTATACATTGTTTTCCAGGAAAATCCTGCAAAGTAAATCTTCAAGCATCGACATAATCTTTTCCTAATCCTAACCAAGTGGTTCTTGTGCCTTAAACCAAACTACACATTAACCACAGCTTTATCACGGCGTTAAATAGGAAATTGAAATGTAAAAAAAATGTAAAGTTTCAACATATGAAACCTACAAATGTAACATAACTGTGTTTTGCAGAAACACACAATGATGCCATGATGGACAAGAGGACCCTAAAGTGCTCAGAAATTTTTTGAAATCTACAACTCCAGGAAAATTAGGCAACTCTATGTGCTAAAAAAAAAGATTGTGTGATACATGTGAGGCTGTGTGTTGAGATGGTTTAGTCACCTTCATTGCAGTTGTTTGATGCCAACACTTTGCTTTGTGAAACCTTCACTTGAAATATGATGTATTTTTTACAGCTAAATGACATGGACATATTTCAAATCTTCATTTTATTCCAAATTCAGTTTGAAGAAGGGTACTCGCACATCCAACTGTCTCAGATGCAGGTGCATTGGGAAATATCACCCGAGTCTTTGAACAGAAAATCCCACACACTGCTCTTGTTCAGCTTCATAATTCATTAGTAACACTAACATTTCAGTCCTCCTGGACCTTTGTCAAGAGTGTTCAGCACCATTATTTCCAACACTGAGCTTAAATAGAAACTGCTCCACCCATTTCACAGGCGTGCACAGGTGTGAGGGAATTAATCAGCTGTGGGTGTGTTTCTCAATAATTGACAACAGCCTGTGCACCATATGTCACATATCCCACAAACGAAAGAACAATGGAGCAAGAAAAATATAGGAAAAAAAACTTTCTATTTAAGCTCAATGTTTTAAATAATGGTGTTGGACACTCTTGACGAAGGTCCAGGAGGACTGAAGCTGTAGTGTTTCCAAATTTAGCCAAACATACTTGATATCTTTGGAAAATAAAAGTTCTGTGTGAAAATTAACAGTATTCCATTTCTCTTCATTTTAATAACAGAACAAAAATCCTCTGCATGCCCGTACACTCACTGCAGACATCCATGAAGCCGTTTATTGCACCTTACATGCAGATGAAATCTGAGGCTGTGGGCTTCCCTCTGGTTACAATCTGGTGTAGGACCAAAGTGATAGGAGCAGATTGCATCGCCATGGCAACACAATTATGCTGCCATAACGTGGGAGGCAAGGATCATGTATGATCCACTGTTAGATAGTGTAATTATTCACCCGCCTGCAGGGGAGGAACGTTTATCTCTGTGTTGTCTTTTAGCGCGCAGAAATTGCATTCTTCCGATACAACATATTGACTATTTCATTTAGTTTCATGTTAATTTTTTGTTGTTGTGAGTTTATAAATCATTTGAAAGGTGTGCAAATTAACACACTGAGTGTATTTAAAATAGATTCAGGTCAAACAAATCAATTAAGTGAGTTTGAGCACCATGGCAACACCATTATGAAGAGTAACCATAATTCTTAAACGCTGAATAAATTATAGCACACAGTACCTCCTGTAATGAAGTTAGGTGGTCATTGCTCCCACTTATATAGCTGCCCATTAGTTACCTAGCAACATGCAATGTGCTCATGTTGTGGTATTGGTAAGCGCCGGCTGAGACGTTTGTGCAACCACTTTATTGTCTCATAACATGGTGTAATAGTATTATGATGCTCGGGCAAGTGGAATGGAGCATGCTTCCCTCTGTCCCTGGAACAAAATAATAGGCGCACACACACACACACACACACACACACACGGTTTGCTCATCAATTATTTCTCAAAGGGGGATATTAGCTCAGCGTTGCCCTAAATCGACCCTCTCCCATGATGTGACACAGACCAGGTGTTATTTTGAGACTTAAAAAAACATTACACAGCAAATTCAGCTGGGCTTCGTTTGGCCCTCAGAAAACAGATTTGGGTAACGCATTGCATTTTATACAGCCTGTCATCAAGAAGCTAATGACGAACAGTTACAACCTGCAGCTGCCTTTGTTAAATCAATGATGAAATACAGGGGATGGCAAGTGGGTCCGTTTGACACCTGCACATGTATTTAATTTGCTTGTTCTTTAAGTTCTAACTGCAGTTGGTTAGGAGAGAAAACGGAGGACTATAAGCCAAAATCAAGCCCAAGCTTTTTTTCTCACAAGTTTTTTAAAACTAAGTTGCTTTCCGGGAATAGTTTTTTCCTAATTTTGCTGCACCATGGAGCATTTATCTCCCGAGTCCTCAGTTCAAAGGCGAGTGATTGGTTCCAGGCTCACATATTTAAGAGATGAAAGTAGAGAAAGCTCTCTGTATCAAAATGCCTTGGTAAACACAGAAAGGTCAGGGAATAGATTCTTTGCTTTGAAATGTCAGCTGATTACTTTATAACTGACGACATGAAGCTATTTGAAGGGTCTGTAAGGCTTTGCAGCGTGCAGAGGAGGTGGGGGTGAAAAATAGATTGTTATATCAGACGGGATTACATTGGTGCTTTATCAATAAAAGGTAGAGAGGCATGTTTCATTTTCAGTCGCTTTATATATGAGAAACATTCATATAGTAAAAGTATACAATCAAATGCAAAACCTTTGTGCTCCGCAGGCAGTGTACAAAATCTGACATGATTCATACAGGAAATACTAAAGGTGATTTGTCTTACATTACACTCATTTGTAATTGGACCACTGTGTGGAAATTCTGTAAAGCAAGTGTTCCCAAAATGGGGATCAGGAAACCCCACGAGTCCTATGATGATAAATGAATGTCAAAAAAACCCTTAACTTCTGTTTTTTCCCCAGCTTTTCTCAAATGTTTGCTTGTTTCCCGTGAAATACTAGAAACTTTCACCTTGTTTGGCCTTTAAAAATCCTTTAAGCCCCGTTCTGACCGAGCAGTACAGTACAGTTTAGTTCAGTACGCTTCTTTTCCGTTTCCACTGTGAAAAGTTGTGGATGGTACCAATGGAACCGTTCTGTGCTGTCCAAATTTTTGGTCACCCCTCTGTTGCGGTACCTAGCACACAGATGTGGTACTAAAAGGTGGAGCTGTGAACACTGCAGTCTGTTGACTGTTCAATAGAGGACAGTCACTCTGCTCAGGGCTGAGTTGTGGCTGGTTTTGAGGCTCATGTCACCACTGTTCATACCGTGGAGAGTTTTACATACATAAGTTAACTATAAAATGAGAGGATGTTTTGCTGCCTCTTGCAGCAGCTGTAGACTGAGAAAAAATAATTTAATTCACTGGGCCGACTGCCGGCGACATTTAAGGTGGAACGTTAACTTGTAATGTTACTCAATGCACGAGTTGACGACATGAATCCATCAGTACACCTTAAATTTCACTGTGACAACTTTGACCTTACTTTAGTTTTTATTTTCATTCTTGGGTACCACAGACTTTTAGTCATGAGTGGATCGTCAAGTGTTTAAAAATATACATTAATTTTGACTGTATAATGTGAACTGCATATATTCTAATCCTCACTTGCAGGAAAAAAAAAAGCATTGTGGAGCCTCGCTCCTGTGAGCTCCGGCAACACTAATCTCCTGAGCTTGCCTTAGAAGGACGATATGCACAAACCAGCTATTTTTAAATATCCCATTGAGAGAAACTCACTGCAGCCTTTTTTTATTATGTTCTGACAATGTCGGCGTGCAGCCTCATTCTGTGGACGATAAACAAGGTGCAGACTTCTTGATCACAGTTGAGGAGCCAGGAAATACAGCGAGTGCTGCATGAGCATTAAGTGACAACAACCCCGCCCATATTTAAGAGTACTGTTTGCGGTGGAAACGCTAGGGTCTAGGTACCACGTCTGAAGGGTTACTTTTGGTTCCAAAGGTACCATACCGAAAGTGTTTGGTGGAAACGGTGCTTTACCGATGATTTGGGTTGGTAGCTGGACCCAAACCACCAGGGAATGACACTCAACAATCAACTGTCTTTCCCCAGACTAACATACATCAATTTTTAAATGCCATGGTCTGAGAAGAAAAAAAATTGACTACACTTTCCATAATTTATGTGAATACTGAGGCCATAATCTGTGATAAGAGCTAATAAGTAGATATCAATTCAGCCTAAAAGGTTAGGAAACAGTGCATAAATGTATCTAAGGGTTTCATTCCAAAATGGTTTATTGCAAAAGTGTTAAACTGACTCCACCAATTTAATATTTCAACTCGCCAGGACACATTATGAAGCATCTTTTATGCAGACTGCACCTTTAAAATTAAGTGTCATCAGCATAATGTTGACTTACTATTGCATTATACCAGCTTTTTGGAGGGGGATTTCATTTTGGAATAAAAACTTTCATTTCACACACTTGATTATTAGATAAGGTTATTAATATCAAACAAATCAAATGGTTGTATTAAACACATACAAAACATATTATTGTATAAACCACTAGCATAACAAAAAAAGAGTCAAAAGATCACTCAAGGACATAAGATTAGTACTGTATTATTCTTTTTTTTTCAGTACTGTAAGAAATCAAAGCCAAAACATTGTTTATGATTAGTATTAGATCAGTCATCTGCAATTTTATTGCAGCACGTAGTGTATCAGAGGCAGTAAATCATTGTTGTGTTGCAGGAAACGGAAACAAATAGGTATCATTAAATGTAGTGGTACTAAGTGTTCATTTAAGGCTGCTGTGCACATAAAAAAAACAATCACTCCTGCTTGGTTCAGGTTTATAGTTTCAACTTGGACTTTTGGTCATTGACAATAAACAACAATATACAGCTTGAGACAGTTTTCTGGATGTGGCTGACTCCAGTGTGAAACTAGTGGGTTTACTTCTATCAAAATAACAAATGATCAACTTTCACTTGCTGAACCCGATAGACGGTGATTTAATAGAGAAAATATTGAAAAATAATAGGTGTTTTCCAAAAGTAGGTCCAGCTAGTGGAGTGTTGTTTGTATGACACAAAATTTTGAACCTGCTTGTTACTTTAGCAGACACAGAAAGAGAGAAGATGTTACTTTCCCACACGTGATGGATATCAACAAAAAGTAAGATAAATAAAACACAAAGATTAACTGGTGTAAAGACATGAGTATGCATGAAAACACTGTGCATACAGGTATATGCTTTGTTGTACAGACTTTTTACTGTAGACTGTACCATTATAAAAAAGAAAATGACTACAAACACTGCTGTTTTGATCACTTTACAGCGTCTTGGCTTTACTTTGGCTTTGGATGCTGCATCTTGACGGGAATGAAAGCAAAACATTGAAACGCTGATCATTAATGATACAATGAACACCAATGAACATTCTTGATGTATCCAAACCATCAAGACTAACTTTGGTCAGCTGTAGACAAAAGGATCAAAGACTATGATTGCTCCCAAAAAACTTGTAAAAAAACTCAAGCTTGGATTGTGGATATTTGGCAAATATCTCCAAAGTGGGGATGAATCAAGAACACACTGCTAAAATGGATTGAAATAACTAGTGTGTAAGATGTAGAAGGATTTAGTGTTATCTCGCAGTGACGACTGCAGATTGCAACCAGCTGAAACTGCTCCCAGTTAGAATTTGTTTGGTGTTTATTGTTCAGGAGGCTTTAACTGGGAGACAAATTATCCACAGAGGTCTCTTCCTCTCCGAAACAAACTAACCAGGTTATTAAACCGGTAAAAACAGAATAAAAAAGTCTCACAATACAAAACAGTGTTTCGTCAATGCTGTCCGGTATGTCGCAGACGGCTGCTAACGTTCAGGAGGTTTTTACCGCAAGCCGAATTATCCACAGAGGTCTTCTTCTTGCCAAAACAAATGGACCTGGTGATTTAAAAAGGTTTAAACACTGAATACAGCAGTTTCTAGAGCCAGTGTTTGTCCATTCTGGGCTACTGTAGAAACATGGTGTTGCAACATGGCTAACATTGTGGTTGAGGACACTCCCAATGTAGATATAAACAGCTCATTCTACGGTAACGAAAACACAAAAATTGTTATTTTCAGGCGATTACATACTAAGAAAATATGCTTATTTTATTATATTTCATTTCTGCCGATACATCCCTCTAAATTCTACACACTGGACCTTTAAAACTGATGTGTAGTAGAAAGATATGGAAGTATTGCTTTACGAAAGGTCTTCAAAAACTAAATTCAACTCGCTGTCGTTCAAAAATCAAAACAAGCGAACAGTAACTTTAGTAACAATTATGATTATCTGCACAACTGTTCATCTGTTTTAACCAAAGCAATTCTGTTCATACAGCAACATTTTAAACATGGGCAAAAATCATGTGATCACGCGAGTTCTGGAGCACTTCTCTTTATGAAAAAGTTCGAAAGCCAAAAGTGGATCTAAAGACTCATTACTGAAAATCAGTTTCACCAGGTTCATCTCAGAAGAATATGCTACAAAGATAAAGAGAAAATAAAGCCGATAATATGAGATGAGTTTGAGTGTGTGTGGAAAGAAAGATCACCCTCTCATTGTCCAGTGACTGTTCAGACTGAGCTGCAGACTCAGACTCATACGTCACCTATGTGTGATATTTTTGCATTAACATAAGGCCATGGTCACACCATCATCTGAATTTGTGGGGGTGTCAGCATATAGTAGTGTCGGGTCCTTGGCTACTGCATTACTTTGTGGCTGTAAGTAGTGTCATTACAACTCTGTCTGGGGTAACTGCCCTTTGAGTGTTTGACGGCATCCTCCAACGACTTTCTGGTTACCAGTAGCCGCACCACATCCTCTTTCTTCTTTGTTAGTCTTTTACGGGCCTGGTCGTGGGTCACCATGGTCATGTCCCAGCCGTTCACCTTGGAAGAAGAGAAGGGATTTGTGTCAGAGTAGCTGTGGCCATTTTCTCTAATTCAAGTTGATAAACAGTGGAACAAGGTGAGCACTGCTCCTGATGCACAGCTCCGATCTGACTCTGTAGTGTACACATGGTGCCATCTGGTGGATCGTCACCGAAACTCGGTTTCACTGCTCACCTGCATTATTTTGTCTCCCATCCTCAGGCCTGCCACGTCTGCTGGTCCTTTGGGTGTTATCCTGGTCACATAGATGCCCTTCGGACAACACAAACACATTTATTATTTCATATGAGCATAGCTGTGTGAGATACAGACAATCTGAAAACCTCAAACTAATACAGGAAATGGCACCTCAAAAATATAAAACATTCAACAAAAATAAACAACACATAAAAGAAACTGTGCTATTATACAGTCTGACTGGTCGAATCATGACCTATTGGATTATTTTTCTTTCACTGTTAATAGTATATCTCTTTATTAATTCTATTGAACTCAACTGGTAGCGTAACTGGGCTAAGTTAATTGCCAGAACCACCTGAATATGTGTCTGGGGAAATCCTCAATATTATCAACACTGGGAAAGTAACACATTGTTTTATTTTTATTAAGTTTTCTTTATTTCAATCCTTTTTTTTACGTAACGTCTAACTATCACAAACATATTAGGGCTGCCGCCTAATGGTCGACCAAACGTTAGTCGACCAGAAAGGTCATTAGTCAGCAAGATTTCATTGGTCGTTAGTTGCAGGAAAAAAAAAAAAAAGGGAAACTCTATTAGGCACTGCACCTTGTCAGAATAAATCAAAACCTATGACAGGACCGTGTGGGAATTTAATTTGAAATGACAAACACAGGAAGAGGCTACAGCAGTCAGACAGGAGTCATGTTATAAACCAATCACAGCCGACAGATATCTTTCCCTTCTTCTGTAAGTATTCAGTCTGACAAATATGGAAAAGTTGATTATGTTAGTGCAGGGTTACCCAGAGTTTTACATCTGTCCCTCAGACGATAGGTCTACACACTTATAAACAGCATCTGGAAAAGATTTGTGTTGCCCCGCCCAAAATATATAATTCAATACTTAAATTAATATAATAAACATGCAGGTGACTAGTTGACTAATGGCCCTGAATGACGACTATTGCTCGACTAGGAAAATTCTTAGTTGAGTGCAGCCCTAAAACACATTTAATTACAAAGAAGCAAAATATGACAATGACAAGATGCCATTAAAACATGTTAAACATGTAAAAAACATGAGTCTAATGCCGATTTATGATCCAAGTTTTACAAGTGGCTTCTAATATCCAGCACATAAACCTTCAATAACTCCAGAACTAGGAGTGCAACTAACCATTACTTCGAGTCCTTGATTTATCAATTTGTACAGTTTTTTTCTTCAATGTACAATAATAAAATAAAAAGAGAAAAGCAGCAAATACTCACATTTGAAAAACTGGAACCAAAATTTTTGTTGGCTTTTTTGCTTGAGGCCTGACTTAGACAATTGATCAACTAAATTACAACAGTTTCAATGTCTCTGCATTGGCTTCTTGTGTGCCTCAGGATTGATTTTAAGATCCTTTTATTGGTTTATAAATTTCTTAATGGCCCTACCTACTTATCAGATTTGCTTTTTTGCCTGCCTGAAGACCTGAGGGCCACAGAGAGTGTTTATGTTTTTAAAAGCAAACTCAAGACCTACCTTTTCAGCCTGGCTTTTAATTGAACTTAATGTCTTTTTTGTATTTATCAATATTGTGTATTTATCTATTTATTTATTTTATTAATCTGTTTTTCTAGCTGGCACATTCTTCTATTTAGTTACTTACTTATTTACTTATTTCCTGACTGATTAAAAATTGTTTTCTATTTTGAGTTTTTATCCTGCCTTGTTTTTATTGTGTGAAGCACTCTGTGTTGCATTCTGTTTGTAAGAAAATGCTATATAAATAAAGTGACTGATTGATTGATTGATACTAATATTTAGTTATCAGCGCTGGGAGTTAAAGAAAACAAGACAGAAGCCTATTGTTCCTTTAAGTATACCTGTTAAGCAGTATAGATGAGATAAGGGCATCCGCACAGCTCTGTAGGAGCATTTCAATAATGCTCATAAACACATCAGGAATATCTAAAGGAAAGCTTAAAAGGTCAAAAGGTAGAGGCTGATATCTAGAGTTATTATTCCTCTCTTACACGGTATCTGTGGTACATTTCTCTCTCACTGTATAAAGCTCACACTGCACATACATATAGTCAGCAGGTACGACACATCTTTAGGCCCGTTTCCACCGCAGGAACTTCGGGGTAATTTTACAGGGCCGGGGCCATTGGTGCGTGTCTCCACCGCAGGAACCACCCCCGAAGGACAGAGTTCCGGAACTTTTACAGGGGCTAAACAAGTCCCTGCCTCGGGGTAGGTACTCAGAACGGCCCCGAAAGACTCCTGGCTGGGGCTTGGGGATTACTTGGTGCTGATTGGATATACTCAAGGAGGGATGTGACTTTTTGTAAATAATAACATGGTTATCGTAGATTAGCTGGGCTAACCGTTAGCTGGTAGCGGTGTCTGTAATAACTCAATAAACGGTCCGTGAAAAAAATATTTTTTCCAGCAGATATCTTAGTTACAACATGATTGAGCTAGCAAAGCAGTTTTGTGTTGATATGTGTGGTATTTATTCAGTTATGGGAAGTCACGATGTCTAGAAAGCATCAGCTAACAGCAGCAGCAAAGCTAACATCAGGACATCATCTGTTAAAAGCCTCCCGTTGTCGGATACAACATGAAACTACTCCAGTTATCTCTATCATGTTGTAACTAAGACATCCGCTGGAAAAAAAATTTTCACGGGCCATTTAGTGAGTTATTACAGACACTGCTATCGGCTAAGGGCGTCCCTACGTCGCCCCGGTCAAAACGGTCGCGGAACGATTACGTAACATCCAGAGCCCGTAACTTTACAGGAACCTTCCTCGTACTCCGCTCTCTCAGTGGAGACACGGCGGTTGAGAGGGCCGAGCGAGAGGACGTTCCTATAGTAGTTCCTGCCCCCCAAATAGTACCAGGAACTTCTTCAGTGGAAATGGGCCTTTTGTGTATTCCTTTCCATGACATCAGCTATAGGAGTCTGGTTTGTTCCCACCTGAGGCTACAGGTAATGTGTTCAGACATGTCGCTCATTTAGAGCTCACTAGAGTGCTGCTCTAACACCACTGTGCTTCAACAGGACAGAGACCTGTTAAGGAACAGGGGAAAAGTCAGGTAGGGAGCTATGTTGCTATGCTATAAATTGATTGGTAGCTTTGAGTTCCCCTGAAATCCTGGGGAAAACCTGAAGAGTCACATCATGGAGTCACCTCGACTGCTGTCTCATTATTATCTGTACTTTATGTTGTCTGTAGGACTGGGCAGCATTTCACTACTTATCATTTGTGTTACTATTTTTACAGATGGCACTATTGCATTTTTGATTCCCCAACTATGGATAGCAAATCCAAAATCATTGAGAATTACACTTTTAGCGATGTCTCGATAGCTACAGAAATAGTAATTTTGTCGATGGTACAGCCCTGGTTGTACCATGTACTACATGCAGTTATAGTAGGTAAAGAGCTGATGTACACACACAAATATAGACTTACTTTGTCAGTCTTGTCCTCAGAGAAGGGGTTCTGTCCAGGGTCCTGGTCTATCCCTCCTCCGATGCTGAAGCCCAGGATCAAATTATCCCCCTGCCGCAATTTGTTGATCTCAATTCGTTGCTGTTTGAGAACACGCACACACAAAAGAAAATCAGATCCATCTTCATCAGGCATTACTCAGTTAATTCAAAAACCCCGACACACAAAATGCATTTAATATTAGTTTATAACATCTTATACTGACAAGTTGCTGATCAGGAAAACAGTGGATAGTGGCATAAAACCAACACTCCCAAACTCAAATTATTTGTCTCAAAAGCACAAAAATAACATGTTTTTCAGGGAAGTGTGACTCTGGGTAACTCTCTTAAACCAGAACTGCAAAATTAACTTAACTTTTTGTGTTAATTTAACATGTGCATGCACGCTCATTCATATTTCATGTTTCGGAGGCTGTTCCCCAGTGACTTAAGTCCACACTGGAACAGAGACTTTATTAGCTTAGCCCTGCCATTGACACTGACAAGCAGCTGCAGGCTTACAAACCAGATGGATGGATGAGTCTGACAGTAGCACTCCTCACAGCACTCCTCAGCACAAAGGCTGCCTGTGTGCGTGGTGATGAATAACCAGACATTCACTGAGTGGTGTGGCTGATACAATGAAGTCAGAGGAAGTCTGGAACTTTGTTAATACTGAGTCAGTCGGGACTTGCCGGCACTACAACACATTTCTCTCTCCTGGTAAAAATAGGTTTATCAGCCTGAGTGGTGGACGTTATATCATTCTCTCACCCAAACAAATCATCAGAATATAGATAGGGTGCTACTTGTATAAAAGAAACAAGAGGACTGAGAGGGGCCACTGTTAAAATGCCTACAGCCTTTAAGTACAGCATTAATAGGGGTATAATAAAACAGACAAACAGCCTGAGATGTTTTTAGAAAAATAAGTGCAATTTCAACAGTATGTCTCAGTTTTTCCACATTCAGTCAGTCTACTTCTCACTGTCATTACATGTGCATGTATCTACACATTTCTGATACAGATTCTCTTGAGCTAAAGCTGCTAATTTGACAATATTTTGCACAATATTCAATATCTTTAAACATGACCACAGTAAGTATTCATTGTTATATCAGAGAGCTGTACTCTGGTCAGGGTGGGAAAGCCTCTGAAGCAGAATCATGAAGTAGGCAACAGATTGTCTGACGTGTTCCTGAAACCTGGCACCTCTTGCCATCTAGTGGGCCGGATTGGACCCTTTGGCGGCCGGTTCTAAAATCACTAAAATTTATAAAGACTGACTCAGTTTTACCAAACTTTCAGAAAGTGCTGCATCCATTTTTGTTTATCCAAGTTCTTGCCAACGTGGCTATAAAGTTTAAACACCCATAAAATACAAACTTCAAAGTCCCTGTTATAATAATTTGGGTGCCACACCAAGACACACAAAGAGTAAAAAGCTACCTGCATGCTTCCTGAACTCTTACCTGCTCCCCACTCCTCACATGACATTTTAACAACTCTGACCTAGAAAAATTCCTGCTATCCCTGTCATATTTACGACTTATTTGGCTGAATTATCATAAAGATCTATTTCTAGTTGTGAGTATTCGTGCATCACTTGAAGGCACCGCAAAAACCTGCACTTCATGTAGTTTGTTTGCACTTCACGTAAATCAACCAGGAAGACTGAATCACACCGACGTTGACGCCCATCTGTAAGAGAAGTGACCTGTCGAGACAAAGCCGACGCAATCTGATAAAATGTATTGCATAATGCCTGCTAGCGTTAAGATTTCTAAGCCTCTATTTCAAGTAAAACTTTATCACTGCGATACTTTTCTTTGGAAAGTGTGAAAGCTGTCAGGATAAAGTCTGTAACACTGTCCACTCGCTTTCAGTGCATTTACCGTAAGGGTCAGAATACGGGTACACTCCAATTTAACGGCTAGTTTGACCACGGAGATGACGGCTAGCTTTGTTGTGTAGCACTTCAGCTAACTAGACAAATAAAGTAATGTTACAGTTATAAAGCCAGCTAGCGTTAGTGAGCGCGTTAAGCCTAGCTAACATGAGTTAATTCAGAGTTAGGTCCTGATGCGGTTTTCCGTTAACGTCGGACCAGAAGCCGAACAATAGAGTAACGTTAACGTTGAATGGACCCAGCCCCACTCCCGAACTTACCACAACAGCAGTCACCGGCTGTCCCGGGACGAAAGACATTTTGTCTCTGCGATGTTTAACCTAAAAAAGTCGTAGAAAGTTGCTCAACTGTTGTTGTTGTTGAAGTCACAGAAAGAAAAGGTCTCGACAGCGGGACAACTTCCAAGATGACTACATAAGTAACAGCAGGCTGATCCCTGGCTGGAAACCAACTGCTTCCCAGATTACGTCACTTCGCCCCCCCCCCCATCCATCCTGCCAGGTCAGCGCGTTTTGTAGCACGGAGTAGCCAGGGAGGGCGGTGTTTAACGGTTGGTCATCGCCCTCGTTGATTCTGTGAAGGTGTGCGCTGCAAATCAAACTCTCCAAGGGATTGTTGGTACCCCTCTGTGTCCCGAGACAAGGCTGGGTGTTTGCCTTAAAAGGAGCTGCCAAATAGTGACCTCCTGTGTGACCCCGCATAGTCCGTCCATCTACTTTACAAAATACACTGACAGATATGATCACACTGCTAAAGTCTTAAAGCCCCTCTGGACTTTATGAGACAAAAACAGTCTATTATCTGCAGTAATATGAGCATTAAGAGAGTAAGTAACTAATTTTACACTATTAACCAGTTATTGATACAATATTATTAAAATTTATCTCCCCGACCCCAACAAATAAATAAATAAATCACATGTCACACTCTGGATGTTGCCAGCTTTAAAGAGGCCTAAATATTGTTAATTGAACAGCTATGTAGCTGCAAGCAGTTTCCCGAATTACAAATCTTGTTTGTATGGAAGCCAATTGCCACCAAGAAAAGAAAAACAAACAACCAAATTGTTAAATAACGCCGCGTCCTTGATCTTCGGTTTTCCAGCGGACTGTTCGAGCAAGTCCGGCTTCTCTGCTGCTAACGCAGCTGCCGGGATACAGCTCATGAGGAGCCGGCTGCTAATGCTATGTACCGGGACACTGCTAACGCTGCTTGCCGTGCTGCTGTAGCTCAGTCGTAACTTTAACTGATGCTGAGACTCTATGGCTGTGTGACTGGTAGATGGCGGTGGGTGGCGCAACAGGCCAAAACACAAATTCAAAACATAAACATGATTTGCGGACCGTAAAATTTTTTTTTTAAATGCGAATATTCTGGCTGTACTATTGTTGTCGGTGAGATCAGTATGTTATATGAACATTATTCCTTAGTCTCTGTGACATATTAGGAGGATTTTACGACTATTTGCTTTAGATTTCTTACATATAGCTCCTTTAACTTAATCCCAATTCTCTTCCCTTAACCTTACCCCTTGGTTTCAAGTGCACTCGCCAGATAGATTCCCCTCAACGACAAAGGGGTAGTGTTGAGGGGTAGGGAATTTTACCTATGAATTGGGACGCCACTTCATGCAAATTAGCGTAACAGACGTGTTCACCTATATCCTGTCATCAACATAGGCTTCTTGCATTCATTTCCAAAATGGCGGCTCCAGAGGTTGTATTGCCTATTTCGTTGGCTGTCTTCATCCTTTTTCGTTTAACAAATCAACAGAGAAGAAACGCAGCAAATAGAAGACGCCTTCGCCACCTTCTTGTCCTGGTCGAATTGTTTCAGGTATGTTGATTTTTTTTTTTTTTTTTTTTAATTTTCCAGTTTCACAATGCATCCTGGGAAATTCAATCTTCCCCTCAGATGAGTTCGTAAGTGTGCATCACATGGCCCTTCTAATTAGGTGGGGGTTTTAAAGGCTGAAAAACACTTCCCTAAAGTTTAGGACACCCTAGCCCTTTGTGGGAACGTGCAAAAACAAGGGCGTGGGCCAATCTTGAGGGAAAGTTTGAGTATTGGGACAGACCCTTAGTCCTGTTGTCCTTCTTTGCGGACACCTTTTTTGTGCTATCTAGTGGTAGTAAGAGCACAATACATAAATCCATGTAAAAACAAGATCGCAGCCAAGTCGGTCTGTGTTGGGATCGGCTGCATATGTTCAAAACCTGATCACATTTTATGATTGAAACTCGTTTATTTATGATTGATAATGTTTGCAGTTTGATATGGCAACACATTTGACCAATTTTAGCAACAGGAACAAGCTAAGACATTGTTAATTAAGAAGTACTCGTTTGAAGACGTTAGGACTTAATTATTGTTCGCAATGTTTAGTTATTTGTACTTATTGGGTCCTACTGATCCCAAATAGCTAGGAGAAATTAACCAATCAAAAGTCTCAGGATGATATAGTAAGTGTATCTTAGGGTATAATATAATCATCTGAAAATAACCTGAAAGTTGATATCTACATATGGCATGTGGAGTGGGTTCTCTTCCACAGCCGGAATGGACAAACCAAACACTGGCTTTAGGTATGGCCATGTGCGCTTTTGCTTAGGCCTCCATAGTTCTCCATATGCTTGGCAAATAGGAGAAGTTTGAGTTGGTTGCAATTTGTAATGTCATTTGCAAGATGCCACTAAATCCTACACACAAGACCTTTAAAAAAACATTCGCATTACAACATAGCTATATAACATTGAGTTAGTAACTCGTGATTTTGATTTTATTTATCAAACATGGTAGATAATCATAGATATTTTCTGCCAGGACATAATACATGTAATTAAATAAATTATATAGTTATGTATTTGTTTTATTCCTGGCAGCAAGTGGACTACTTCTATTAAACTAAAATGTCAGAGGAAATTTGTCTTACGTAGGACACTGTAGTGCACAACAGTGGAAAATAACTAGAGACATTTACTGTACTTCAGTGCAATTTGAGGTGCGTGTTGCCTGCCCTACTTAAGTCCATTTATATACTTTTATATCCTCCTGAGACCCGAACTTTTGTTTGGCATGCATTTTAATTTCTCTTAGCTATTTGGGATCAGTAGGACCCGATAAATATAAAAAATTAAGCATTGCAAACAATAATTAAGTCCCAGTGTCCTCAAACAAGATGATAATAAAGTCCCAATGTCAAACAAGGATATCTATATACTTTTATAAACTTTATATACTTAGACTTATACTTACACATCACCACATTCAGAAGCAAACATTGAAGTTTCAGCTCCACTTCCTTTTTTTGATCAGATTATGAAAATATATCTGCATTGGCTTTAGTGAACAATTAAAAGCAGACTTGAAATTGCATGCTTTTACATTGTGGTTTTAACATAAAGGAACTGAAGGCCACCACTCTGCTCTCTGAGCATCTGATGTGGTTTACTGGCCACTAGATGGTAGTCTATAATGAGACAAATGTTTTCTATTAGTTTGGTATGAAGAGCTCTGAACTGTTTTGACTACATAATCCAAACAGTTAACAACCAATTACATGGTCAACAATATCAAAAGTAACTGAATGACTACACAGTTAATCAAATCATTGCAAAATGACAAGCAAGTTATAACATGCATTAACACTTTTTAATGCACGTTTTTAAACACTTACTAATAACATTTACAGTAAAATAAGACAGAATAGTCTGAGGATAGAAAGGGACTGGCATGTCATACATGTTCATTGGAATTAAAACCCAGGTGATTGCACCAGCATGACATGCACCCACCACTGAGTAACCAGGCCAGCACAGGAGCCATAACATGCAAAGATCAGAGTGAGAAGTGAAGCATGGGAGGGAGAGGAGGGGACAGACAGGAGGAAGTGCTCAGAGCAGAAACAGAAATTATGTTCATTTCCAGTATGGGTGAACAAACCGGTGTGTCCCGATTGGTCATGGTCAAAATCACATTCTTGTTTAATCATCAGACAGTAGAGTAATATTAATTATGTGCCATGAAACAAAAGCTTGTGGAACAGCTGTAACAGCCTTGGAAACAAATACAAATATAGCATTTATTAAAGGTCATTTATTTACTCCATAACGTAACAAAATAAGATGCTTTGCATAAGCATAGTAGTAAAAATATTTGTAAAATATTCAGATCACATGGTCTAGATGCTTCATAATCACATTAAAAACAAGGGTCTGGCAGTCACTGGCAGTAAAAATGAAATGTCTCTGGGTAATTACCTTGAATTCCATGTCCAAAGACCACGTTTTACGCTACGTAAAAGTGAATTTGACCCACCTGTATGTTCCTACCTGTAAAACAAGTCTGACCTGTGTCTGCATTTTCCAGCTTCCCTGTCATGTTGCTGATAACAGATCTGCACCAGACCTGTATTCAAAGCAGTCCTTTTGCATTAACTTCCTCCTGCTGCCCTTTCATACTTTTGTTAGACATGACAGCAGCAGAGAGGCATGTATAAACAATTCACCGGAATTTAAAAGCCAAAGAAGAGGCTAGTAATTAGCATTAGCACTAGGGAGACGGGTATGTTAAATACATTTGTTGCATTACTCCTCATGTAACAATATTTATCTGTAGTGTCTCTGTTGAATAAACCAGCAAATAAATAAAAGATAAAGCGCTCAAAAGTGGCAGTAATCACAGTCACGGACAAACAGCAGTTTAACCTATTATATAGTTTTTACTCCACACTACTTGAAGGTTGAAATGATGCATTATTTGTAAGAGTTCAACTTCAGTGTGCAGGCTATCGCTCCTTTTTCTTGCTTCTGTCCTCCACCCACATGGGGTTGAATCCATCTATGCATTATTTTTCTAAGGGAGCAGTCATGTGTCAGTGACCTGGAGCAAAAGGTGGAGGTGGCAGATACTCCTGAGGTAACCCTCCTCCTTCAGTCACAGCGCAAGTGTAGGTAAATGGAGGAGCACTGAAGGTGTGCTCCTCTGCGATCTCGTGGTACTCATTCTCAGTCGCCTCCTGCGGCGTGTTGTTCTTCTTTTGGAATTTCTTCTTGAAGTTCTTCAGGTTGGAGACGACTGACAGCTTGCATTCCTGGTTCTTTGCAGGCTGGAGGTTGGCGCTGAGTGGGTGCTCAGTGGTTGTGGGTGAGGGTGAGGGTGAGGGTGTGGCGACGCTCTCAGGTGCAGAGACTGTCCTGATACAAGCCTGGTTCTGCTTCAGTGGAGGTAAAGGGGTCCGAGCAGGGACCTCAGGAGGCTGGTTGGATGGAAGATTGATGGCCAAATGTCTCGGTTTTGGCACAGGCTGGAGATGAACATTAAACATACAGCAGAGAAATTTGTTTTAAAAAACATTTACATTTTAATGTTAAGCCTCTGAAAATGTGGTTTCAAATCTTAAAGCTGGGGTGCGGAATTTAATTTTGGTGCCACTGGGCAAAAATCCCGTAATAAACTGTGAGCATATTGTAATTCAGTTGCAGCTTGTCTTGGCTCTGTTTTGAGGCTTAGAAAATCTAGTCCACGATAAGAGACTTTGGTCAATCACGGGTCATTTCAGAGAGACGAGGTTCCTATTGGCTGTTCTACAAATGCAGATGTGCGAGCATGTCCCTTTGGCCTTATTCAGTGGTGGATACTCCTGCAGATGAGTTGCTATTCCAGCATTTGTTACATCTGCCTACACTGCAAAGCGACCCAAAAAAGGAAGACAGACTCAGAGAGTAAATGTTGCTAATAATTTAGGCTTCTGCTAACTGGAGCCAAAGCATCATAGCTGCGGTTTCAAGTTCACGTTAGTGTAGCTAAAGTCAGCTAGAGCCTCAAATCACAGTGTGTCCTCTGCCTCACTCCCCACCACTACAGACCACATCACCAGGAAGAGAGCTGATTGCAGCTATTGAGACGGACCCTCAGTCAGTGGCCGCAGCAACCTGAATCCAGTCAGATCCAGGGCACCAAACAGCCCTGACTACCTGGCAAATCAGCTAATAGGTCAAATTTAGCGCTGCTGCTGGACACCAGCCCGACGTGACACCCGGTACTGGAGAATTTACGCTGGCCAAATTCGAGCTGCTACAGTCCACACATCTTCCAGGGAAGTAGTCCACAGTGGTGGCGAACAAGGCAGAGGGAGCGTGGGGTGGCAAGCTCACTAATTCTTGTCTCATTTGTAGTCTGGTAAACAGAGAGAGAGCGGAGCAAGAAGGGGCTGAGTGAAAGTACTTTGTGCAGCTCGTGGTCGTCTGGTGGGAGGGGCTTAGGACAGAGCAACCCAGTCTCACTTCAAAGTCATCGAAATCCAGTGCTTGGGCAGTGACTTGCAGCGTCAGACGCTGATGATAAAAGCCATCTTTTATCGTCAACATGACACGTGGCTGGTCACTGTTGTAGTTTGATGGTGCTCAGCGGCATCAGGGTGAAACCCAGTGGGACAAGAACAAAAGTTAAGGCGGAGAAATAGGATAAGGGTGGGTGGGAGTGGTGGAGGATGGGTCCAACAAACACCAACCTTCACCTGGGAGAGCGGTGTTCGCATCCCGCAAGATCATGAAGCCAAACCCTGTTCCTTTTATCCTGAATCCAATCACGTGTGTTAGTAGTTGGAGGAAAAAAAACGGCAGTTGCATTGTTGTAACGATGTAGTGCGTTTATTCTAAAAGAGGCTGTATGTAAAGGGTACGAAAACGGAAGTGTATTTTGAAAGAAGACGATGCATGTAAAAGGCAGAACTTGTCAGCAACTGGACTTGAAAGGTCCATGACCAAACATCGATATGCCCAGCTCTAAGTTTATCGCTAAAACAATTAAGTAACCATGGCAACATGTTAACAGTCAAAAATCAATCTGCTTCATCAGGGCTGCGTGGGTGTGTTACGATCAGATGACAGTGACCTGGCAATGTAAGGAAAAAGCCCCCACAACTGACATCCAAATTGGATTTATGGTTTGCTTGTTTCAGATTAGCGCCCAAAAATGGACACACGGAACTAAACTGTTCAAAGTTGGGAGAAAATCATGTGTTCATATAGGACCCCATCACCAACATCTTGTTATGAATGGGAGGGTGATTCGACTAACACCTTTGAAATGTCTTGAGTCTCACGTTGATCGCAGGCAACATTTAGATATCCTTTATTTTAAGGGTTAGGGTTAGCACTAGACAACATCTAAGACAATCTATGAAGATCATCATTACCGTGGCAGGGAGAGGGATGGTAATGTGTGGAAATTCCTCCTCCAAACTAGGGTAAAGTCTGTTTGCAGACGGGAGTGCAGAGTTCCTCAAGTTATTTGGCCGATAAGGAAGAGCAGGTGGGATATCTTCCTGTGATGGTGGGTGACTTATGCTGGGATGCAGGGGGACGTTCGGTAGCCAGCTTGTGTTGGGATTCAGATGTCTTTGGGGAAACAGCAGCTCTGCGTAGTCGGTCTTGCCACCTGAGGCCTTCAGTGGGGTGAAACACAGACAGAAAGAGAAACAGAGGAAATTATGATTGTGTTCTTGTTTGCATGGTGCACAGGTGGCAGGCACATAAACAAATATCGTGGTTTTGGGTTGTAAAGATGACTCAGGTTTAACTGAATACATGCACGTAGGCCTGGTGCTCTACTCATTACATTACATTTACATTGTCAGTACAATAACCAACAAATCTATGATGTATGGAAGAACCGTTAAGTCAAGGCACCTGTTTGCAGGTATGATAATAAAACATTCCCTCACCTGCCCACATGCAACAGTCAGCACCTCACTGAAAGGCATGATGGGATTCCTACGGTGAAAGTCCACCAGGTCCTGCAGAACCCGGTGACGCCTGTCTTCCCCTACTATGATATATTGGCCGTCCTCCAACGCATCGATCATGAAATGTCTGCAGCGGTCCTCAGCACTGAGGGCAAAGGGGACAGAAAGCAAAAAATATGTCAAGAGGAGTAAAGAGAGCAGGTCTTTGGACTCTTGGACCGAGTGTGTGAGTGTAAACTCCTTTAAAATGCAAACACTCACCGGTATGAGAGAGTGTAGCCAATCCTGCTCTCACTGATTCGGATGAGGAAGTAGCCAGGGGGCTTGGACATCAGCAGTTCCTCTGCCACCCTGCACAAATTGTGAGCATGCACAGAACAAAAAAGTCCTTTCATACATGCACTGTAATCTGTAAATGATCTAGCAGTTTTATGGGATGGGGTGGCATCGGTTGTGAACAAGAGCCAGGATCAGTTTGCAGCTTTCAACACATAATAAAATGTTCTTCCCATGCATGAACTTTCCATTAATAAAAGAATGGTCTAATAAATACAGGGCATTGTAGTCAGGTCAGTAAAGTAAACTGATGGAGTACACCATGCCTAATAGTAATGCACATATATCATCCGTTATGCAAAGTTGTGGATGTGTACACTGGGAGTGGAGAAAGCAAAGAATTTATTTGAAGCAGAAATCTGTTTAAATATTACCAGGGTAAAGTCTGTGCTCGAGAGGCTGCGTCACTGACAAATCTGTGACTAAAGTGCATCATAAGTAAACTTGTATAATAACCAATGTTTTGTCCTCATATTTAATATTGTAAACCTGGAGATAACTGATGCAGTGGTGTAGTTTTTCTCTTTTATTTTGGAAAAAATGGAGCCTAAGTAGGATATAGCACAGGATTATTTTGGGGTTAGAAGCTTCCTGAAAACCTTTGATTACTTCCTAAAACGTTGTTGGAGATGCAATATCTTTCTCAACATATTCTCCCTTATTAGACTGTGTTTACAGTCACTGCATGCTGTAACACAACACTGCTACCTTTATCGTGTAGGATTTTTAAAACATGGCTTTCCACATTCCTCCCCGCGGAGGAGATGGCGGACCGCGATAGACTTCGACAACTTACTTCCTGGAGATGATCCCATGAAACCACTCTGGGACGACACCGTTCCTGATCACGAGCCGGAGCTGGGACTCTGTGAACCAGATGAAAGCATCACGCTGTGCTTGTGTCGACTGACTCCAATCCATCGTCCTGGGACGCAGCTCATTTAATCCTCTGTTGGGTCTGTTGGGGAATTCACAGAGGATAGAGACCTGCAAGTGTGTCATATACAACTTGGTAAACCTAAAAATAAGATACTTGAACATGTAGAGTATATACAGAAAATACAAACCACATATATGAGCAGTCAGTAGACAAAGATTTCTGCATTTCGGCTGATATGACTATGGTGAATAACTATAACTTAAGAGTTGAACTTTTACATAAAGAGACCCCCCCATAATCTTCCCACATTCATCTTTTTAAAGACAATTTACAATACAAAATGTAGCTTAGACAGGATATTGTCACTACTTTCCTCAGTTTTACTTGTAATAATCTTTAACTGTTTAAGAAAGCAGACCCGCTTTAATTTGGATTAATTAATGCATCTTAAATTTGTAGTTTAAATGCTCACATAATTAAAAATGATATTAGTTTTCTAAATAAAACAAAGAGATTTCTAAATTCCACACACAGCAAAGGTGACTCACCTTGTCTGGCAGCTCCGCGATATAATGACACAGCAGATCTCACACAGCTGACTACACCTGTCTGTGGGCGGAGGCAAAACTCACCTCTAGCTGAGTAGCTGTATAACATTTTAAAAGAGCACTACATACTGTCACCAAATAAGTAAAATACATTGTCATATAGGCTATAAACTGTGGGTAACAAATGATCCAATGGTCCTTTGTATGGTTAGATAGAAGGTAAACAGTCATCTCTAATGTGACAGTCTGTTTGGATTCCAAAAGAATGTAGCCCACATTCATAAGTGCACCATAAACTCACAGGTGTACAGTATGAAACAGGTTCAAGTGAACATTGCGATCTATCAGAGGAGCCAGCTCAGATTAAATGAGAGGCTTCAGTCCTGCCCTCTTCAGCTGTTGTATAACGTTACATTTGTAGTATCAGTGACTGAGGTGGGAGGCCACATGAGAGGTTAGGTTCAATAAGATCGGGTAACTTAATGTTTACAAGCTGTCCAGCTTTACTCCAGTGCCACAAGTTTATGACAGTGTGGGAAGTACACATATATAAAGAGAAATGATTGATCTCACCCCCTGTGCTGCAAATACACCTTTTTTAATTGTCTGACAGATGTAGAAATGCACACATCACCATGGACACCTGTGCAGTTTAATGCTATTGAATCCTTACTTTGCTGTACTTTGTATTCACTGTGGGAGATTTTGTGATTGTGTGGACTTCCTAAAACCTTTATTTCATCAAAAAGCTTTTCACTGAGGCCACGCACCCTGTACTTCTTTATGCTCAAGGGCACCTCAGCAGTGGAAATGAGGGTAGGGCTCTAACCTTTAAGCTGCTGCTACATCCTGATTAGTCAATCAGGTTCCATAACAATATGATATGCAACACAGCAACACAAGCAGCCGACATGATTTTCCTCTGTGTGGTGGCTGGGCTCAGCCTTAGAGATAGGGTGAGGAGCTCGGACATCCGGAGGGAGCTCGGAGTAGAGCCGCTGCTCCTTCGTGTCGAAAGGCGTCAGTTGAGGTGGTTCGGGCATCTGATCAGGATGCCTCCTGGGTGCCTCACATTAGAGGTGTTCCAGGCACGTCCCACTGGTAGGAGGCCCCGGGTAGACCCAGAACATGCTGGACAGATTACATATCTCTTCTGGCCTGGGAACACCTCGGGGTCACCCAGGAGGAGCTGGAAAGCGTTGCTGGAGAGAGGGATGTCTTGGGTGCTTTTCTTGGCCTGCTGCCCCAGATAAGTGGATGAAAATGGATGGATGGACACAGCAAAACCACCATATAGAACTCTTCTCTCTTAACAAACTGTCTGTTCAATGTAACTACTACATAAATAATGTTTGTGGGTTTTTAAAGATAATAAAAAAGCTGCTGCTTGGCTGATGCTAATATTGTACACAAATATATGTGCGTGCAAAGGTTTCTCTGACTTCCGTCTGCTTTTCTTGTCAGAGAGGAACTATCTTGACAAATAAAATTCACAGTCTTTGGTTTTGTTACTGTTGGTGACATATTAACTGTTTAATGGGTGATTCAGTGAAAATGCCTGGCAGCTTAATGCTGGAGAGCCGCTTCAGATCAAGTAAAAGAGCTGATCTGGGAAGTTTTTCCTCCCACACGCTGATTGTCTAGATAAAAAAGAACTCAATAAAGGTCAAAGTCTTACTGAATTGACTCCCCAGTGCGGCACATCACAGAGAGGAAGTGATGAGCTCCAGTGCTAATGTTTTAGAGGTCACAGTTTAAACACTCCACCACCTTCTTCATCAAACAAAACTGTTTTCAGCTTTAGGTGTGTTCTGTTACAAAGTGAAGCTGCAGACACAGTTTCACAAGTCATTTAACAGTTTCAGTTTCTGTAAGTGTTCCTTTTTCTCTGCATTCAACATTCACATCACAGAGCAGAAATAACCTAGCCCGCCATTAGGGGCCAAGTGGCCTCCCAGCCATTTTCTAATTCATAATGAAAAGAAACTGAAATTTTTTTTTGTACTTCAGTGAAAACAAGGTGCCAGAGTGCATAAAAAGCATCAAATTCTAATTTGTTTATCAAAAAAGTGCCGGGGGATGACTCCCCAGATCCCCAGACAGAGACAACGCATTTTCACTCCCAACTCATCAAATACTAATACTTATCAATCGAATATGAAGCACTAGGTCCCCCTCCTGCATCAGTTTTGGATGTTCAGGGACAGCATGTCAATTTACGGTCATTACATCTATTGTTTCTTTACAAAAAAACAAAACAAAAAAATCACTTCAGTTTTAACAGAAAATATAGTTTCTACTAGTTAAAATAGTCTCTCAAAATAAACGTAGAAAATAGGTAAAAAGAACTCGATTTGGGCAACAAGAGCACATGGCTAGGTTTTTAAAAAAGGAATCGTAGTTTGGCTTAAAATAAGAACACTTGTCACTAGTGTAATATAACGTCATGTGATATACGTCAGCATGCTCAACATACTAGCACACCACATTGTTATTGAAACATCTCAATTGACTTTTGGTGTCACACTGGACACAAACAGTTGGCTCCTAGGTGAAAGTCCAGAGTTTGTTTGACCCATCGACCTTAATGACCTGCCTGCCCATTTGGAACTTTCTTGCTCTTTATACTATTTTAGTTTCCTCTAGCATCAACAAATGCCGCAACCTGGGTTGTCTCGTATACCACCGCTAAATGGTGCCTCTGTGCGACAGTGTCTTACGTTGACAAGCCACAAACCAAACATAGGTATTTGGCGGCATCGGAGTGAGACAAGGTTGGACAGAGACACTGGCTCAACCCTGAATGTCCTCAAACTCTAGAAACACCCCTGCGTACACCTGTGGTTGCTGTGACTGGCTCTTGCTCTTGGTCTCCTGTCCTTTTGCAAAAGTGGCCCCCAGGCAAAGTAACTTGAGTAACCCTGGTGTAGCAGATTCATGTGCAACAGAAAACTGCAGCTGGGGAGGACAAAACATGACTCCTTCAGGCATGTGACAATACATTTGTACAAAATTGTCTTAAAAATGAAATATAAACCCAGTTAAGAGCAAGAAATTATACTTGTAATTAAAAGAAAATTATCAAAATGCCACTGACCAAGTCGAGAAACATGACCCATCTGTTAAAGCTTTCAGTTCGACTGTTAATCTTCTTATAATAAAGAAATTTTTAATGACTTCCATAGTTTTTATCACAGTATATAATTGTGCAGTTAAAGAGAATGACACAGCACAACTAGGTGGCAACATAGATGAATGTAAACTGTATCTTAATTAACAGGCAACAGTCAGACCTGTGGAGGTTTGATGAGGTTTAACTTTATACAAATATTCGCAAAATTAAATTAAAATAAAATTTAGGGCACATAAGTCAATCCGATTAACGGAAAATAAATCTTTGGGTAAAATTGAGTAAAATGATCAAATGATGTTTATCCATTTCTTATGAAGAATTTTATTACTCAACTTATCAGGACATTTTTTTCACTTACACCCATGTCTAACTATTTTTCAAACCAACTTCAGAATAATTTTGTAAAATTGTATGCACCCATAGCTTATTTCCTACAAAGTCAAGTTTAATCTTCCATATCTTTATTAAAGTTTGTAATCCTTCATTAAGTTCTTCTTGGAAAATTTTTTCATGCGTTTATAAACTGGGTTTTGGGTGACCAGTTTTTTACATGTCTTTTTTATTACAAGTAAAATTCAAATACCAAATCTAAACAAAACACATAAAATACTCTTCCTCATACTGATTGTCTATATGGGTCTCCAAAAAATAAAAAGGTGTAAATATAACGAGCTGAAACATTTTTTTTTAAGAATCTCATTTTTAATAAATCATCAAAACACATATCTACAAAATGTGTAGATCAATAAGATTTATGAACCTTCAGTACAATCATTGTAGATTTTATTTACAGCTGCTGAATTATTTAATTTATTCCCCGATGAAATGCATCAATGATCAGCGATGAAATCCAAATTCAGGTGGGAATGCTAAAGATATAGTAACATAGACCTGGTGATGATTACACACGACTCAAAGAACTACTGAGCAGCTCATTGTTCAGATGACATTTAGGCCAAACTGCATTTTTTTTTATCAAGCAATTAATTTGATCTGTGAGAGCCAGTTAAACCAAAATTGTGCCACAAGTCCAACCATGTTAACAACGATTTAAATCCACAGGTTACGTAGTTACATGTTCAATAACTCTTTAGCACTGCTAGAAATGATTTGCTCTCACTTGTGATTTTCATCAATTAATTTCCTATGCTCACGCCTGAACGGCTCAACCGAGCAAATACGGCAGAATTTAGAGTGACAGCAGAAAATAAAACAGCAAGGATCCTTTGCACATTTCTAATCTCAAATAAAGCTCATCAAGTCAAATGTGCAAAGCTTTTTGAGGTTTCCTACGCACCCAGAATGCATAGTTCAGGTGGCCATGATGCTGGGCCAAAACAAGACGCAGAATATCTGGAGAGGAGGACGAGGGGAGGGAACGAGGTGGGTGCATCTGGGGTTCCCAAAAGCATCAATGGAAAT